TGTGTGTGTGTGTGTGTGTGTGTGTGTGTGTGTGTGTGTGTGTGTGTGTTTTGTTTTAAAGGTGCTCTTGTGTTGTCCTTGTTCAGACGCACTGCTCTTTGCCTCCTTCTGCGTTTGTGTTGCTTTTGATCCAGCATTTGCCTCTCTTTTTGAGGTGTTCCTCTTTTCTCCTATGCCTGGGCAGAAGGTAAAACTTCGTCCGCTACCTTGGTTTTATTTCCGTTTTCATTGTTCTTTGCGTCCTTTGTCGTTTCTCTGGGTTTTGATCAAGCATTTGCCTGTGTTTTTGAGGTGTTCTTCTTTTGTCCTGTGCCTGGGTGGAGATAGAGGTCCGTCACCTTGTTGCTTTTATTTCCGTTTGCATTGCTGTTTGCAAGCTTGTTCGTGTTTCTTGGCAGAGCATTTGCCTATGTTTTTGGGCTGTTCTCCTTTTGTTATGCCTGGGTAGGAGAGAAACTCCATGACCTATTTTGCTGGTATTTCTGATTTCATTGTTCTTTGCCTGCTTCTGCGTTTGTGTTGACATTTGTTCCAGCATTTGCCTCTCTTTTTGAGGTGTTCCTCTTTTCTCCTATGCCTGGGCAGGACATATGCCTGGGCAGGAGGTAAACCTCCGTCCGCTACTTTGGTTTTATGTCCGTTTTCATTGTTCTTTGCGTCCTTTGTCGTTTCTCTGGGTTTTGATCAAGCATTTGCCCGTGTTTTTGAGGTGTTCTTCTTTTGTCCTATGCCTGGGTGGGAGATAGAACTCCGTCACCTACATTGCTTTTATTTCCGTTTGCATTGCTGTTTGCATGCTTGTTCGTGTTTTTTGGCATAGCATTTGCCTATGTTTTTGGGCTGTTCTCCTTTTTATTTGTTCTGCCTGAGTAGGAGAGAAACTCCGTGACCTATTTTGCTTGTATTTCTTTCTGATTTCATTGCTCTTTGCCTCCTTCTGCGTTTGTGTTGCTTTTGATCCAGCATTTGCCTCTCTTTTTGAGGTGTTCCTCTTTTCTCCTATGCCTGGGCAGGAGGTAAAACTCCGTCCGCTACCTTGGTTTTATTTCCGTTTTCATTCTTTGCGTCCTTTGTCGTTTCTCTGGGTTTTGATCAAGCGTTTGCCTGTGTTTTTGAGGTGTTCTTCTTTTGTCCTATGCCTGGGCGGGAGATAGAACTCCGTCACCTACATTGCTTTTATTTCCGTTTGCATTGCTGTTTGCATGCTTGTTCGTGATTTTTGGCATAGCATTTGCCTGTGTTTTTGAGCTGTTCTCCTTGTCATTTGTTCTGCCTGAGTAGGAGAGAAACTCCGTGACCTATTTTGCTTGTATTTCTGATTTCATTGCTCTTTGCCTCCTTCTGCGTTTGTGTTGCTTTTGATCCAGCCTTTGCCTCTCTTTATGAGGTGTTCCTCTTTTCTCCTATGCCTGGGCAGGAGGTAAAACTCCGTCCGCTACCTTGGTTTTATTTCCGTTTTCATTGTTCTTTGCGTCCTTTGTCGTTTCTCTGGGTTTTGATCAAGCATTTGCCTGTGTTTTTGAGGTGTTCTTCTTTTGTCCTATGCCTGGGCGGGAGATAGAACTCCGTCACCTACATTGCTTGTATTTCCGTTTGCATTGCTGTTTGCATGCTTGTTCGTGATTTTTGGCATAGCATTTGCCTGTGTTTTTGAGCTGTTCTCCTTGTCATTTGTTCTGCCTGAGTAGGAGAGAAACTCCGTGACCTATTTTGCTTGTATTTCTGATTTCATTGCTCTTTGCCTCCTTCTGCGTTTGTGTTGCTTTTGATCCAGCATTTGCCTCTCTTTTTGAGGCGTTCCTCTTTTCTCCTATGCCTGGGCAGGAGGTAAAACTCCGTCCGCTACCTTGGATTTATTTCCGTTTTCATTCTTTGCGTCCTTTGTCGTTTCTCTGGGTTTTGAGCAAGCATTTGCCTGTGTTTTTGAGGTGTTCTTCTTTTGTCCTATGCCTGGGTGGGAGAAAGAACTCCGTCACCTACGTTGCTTTTATTTCCGTTTGCATTGCTGTTTGCATGCTTGTTCGTGTTTTTTGGCATAGCATTTGCCTATGTTTTTGAGCTGTTCTCCTTTTAATTTGTTCTGCCTGAGTAGGAGAGAAAGTCCGTGACCTATTTTGCTTGTATTTCTGATTTCATTGTTCTTTGCGTGCTTCTTCGTTTCTGTTGTCTTTGCTCCATCGTTTGCCTATGTTTTTGAGGTGTTCGTCATGTCGGGCGTGTGACCCCAACCAACCCGCTTCGTGAACCTCGCGCGCCGTTTGAAGCCTCGCTTCCAAACGCTCTTCTGACCGACCCCTGGCTCGCAATCCAAACTTTGCCGTTGTGCTGCTCGCAAGGCTAAATGCCCTGGATTAGCCGAAGGATTTGAGCCATGGGGGCCCTTCTAAGGGAGCATAGGGCACCGGGATTCGGTGGAATTTGGAATCTGCCCACTTTGACGCTTAGAACAAAGCAAAAAAGGCCCGACTCAACAGGACGTATAGAACAACGCAAAACGCAAGTTTTAAAACTTCCTCCTCCGCCGGTCTTTGGGTCGGTCGCCCGCTTCTCCCACCCTCCGCCGGTCCTTGGGTCGGTCGCCCTGTTTTTGCAGGATCCGCGTTGGTTCTCGGGGTGCCGGTTGCCCCGGGGGGTCCTTGGGTCCCCCTCCCGTGGGCCTTTATGCAAGCACATGGGGACAGATTCTAAATTCATCTAGGTTTTTCTAGTTGGGGGGGCTGCCCTGCTTGGTCCCTTCCTGGGACCCTGCAGGGGCCCCACAAAACTGATACGGAGTTACAGGTAAACTTAACAAATTTGTATATTTCTTTCCTCGCTCACTTGCCCGCAGCCGCCTCAAGGGTCAGGAATCCTATCAGAGTGCCCAGCCTAGGTATGCACAGTAGGACACTCTGAGGCTGTACAGTCTGTACATGAACGAAGCCATGCCGCCAAACACCCACACCACCCGAACCCCACATCACCCCAACCACCCACATGACCCGAACCACCAAGACCGCCCCAAGCCACCCGCCCCCTGAGCCACCCACGCTGACGAGCCGCCATCCGCACCGCCCGCCACCAGTGTGAAGGCCCCCCCCTCTCCCAAAAGGCTGCGAACTAGCCCTAAACCCTAAACCCTCATAGCGTCATCCCTGCAAAGGGCGCCCAAATCCTCCAACTACCCCAAGCTGCCCAAGCCGAAGCCACCCAAGAAACTCCCTAAGCCCTGAGGCACCCTAAAATGGCGGGGGGTGGGGTCGGCGGCACTGGCGGTAGCCATTAAATATTGTCAACACATGACCTAACAAGGCTGAATATGTCAATGTATGTTTCTGTATGCTTATATAGATACACACACTGATCTCTGCACACTTAGCTGCTCACATGTAGTTGTGGATCTACATATGTACAGATATCAGTGCATGTGTCACCACCATGGCTTGGAATCACTGTTCCTGTCATGTCAGCCTTGTCGCTAGGCGCTTACTCGTTCGAGCCAGTAAGAAAACCTCTTGCCGCAGAGACAAACTGGCCTCTGGCACGTTGTTGAGCACGTGCACGTCCGAAGCTGCAGATTCCTGCAAACTGAGCTGCTGCTGCACTGCTGCCCCTGTGAACAGCCGTAGGCAGGTGTATATGACGACAGGTGAGACCACTCTGACCGCACCATGCCATATGTGTTCGGTGTCTTGCTCACTTGCGGATACTTGCGGCCCTGCTTTGTTCACGGGTCCTGTGGCGGAGTCTCAATCCTAGCCTCCTGGACCTGCAATCTCTTCAGCATGCAGCGGAAGGGACCAATGCTGTCATGCTCCATTGTCAAACCCTTGCTGCACATCGCGGACATCTTTTCGCAGTGCCTGGTCGGGTTGCTCTGTGGATCTTGCCACCTTGAAAGGGACAAAAAACATCAAAAAGCCGTCAGTACGCAACTTCTTGCCACAGCGACGGCAAATGCCGATGGTTGCTTCGAAGTGATCCAGGTGGAGCCGTGTGGGTGAAGATCCATTTGTTGCAGCTGGCCTCTGGCACGTTGTTTGGCACGCGCACGTCCGAAGCTGCAGATTCCTCCGAACTGAGTTGCTGGTGATTGCTAGTGCATGCTAGTGCTGTTTGAATTGCGGGAACTTTCGCCATTTTCAGGTGGTCCTAGTCTTGGAACGTAACGAGTGTGGGTCTGGTTGCTCAACTAAAACTATCTTGTTTGGTCGGGGAGTCGATTGATCGCCCTTCCGTCCCAGGACTGTACACATGTGTACACATCTGTACGCCCTAATTGCACCTGAACAGGGCCACATTCATGTTCAAGGAGCTTCTTCTTGCGCCCGTGAACTCGTCAACTTGTGACACACCTAAAACACACCATTCTCTTCGTACAGCTGCGTCATGGCCAGCACCCCTAGTGTATTGTGACCTCAATGACTGCGCCGCACGCGTGCGCATTTGATTTTCGGTTTATGCGCTGGCCCATCTTGCCTGGCTTAAACTGGCGATGCCCTACACCCGGAAACTGCGCTCTGTAGTTGTCTGCGCAAAGAATCATGCGCCTTGTCCAACTGCAGTGCCGCTGCTGTGGTTGCAGCGATGCTAGGTGCCTCGACAAAGAAAGAGGCAAGAGTGCAAGCAAGCGAACAGGACTTGCAGCGAGAATTGCGCTCCGTGCCATTTTCTATGGTGCAGGTGCACGCAGGCAGCGGAAGCGCGGGCAACTAAGTCCTACAGACTGCAGTTGCTACGACTCGTCGGCATGGAACCTGGAGTTTTCTGAAGCCCCAGCCCACATGCCGTGGCTTACAGCATGCGCCATCTCTGTACGAGGCCACGTGGGGCACTGGATTTGTCAAGAGGCCGAATTCTTGCACAAATTGGGAGCTTTTGAGGCCATGCTTGCTGACATGCGCGATGTCCGCGAAGGCCCTCCCGGCTTGCTGTCAATCTTGCTTCAGATGCTAGCGCCAAGTAATGCAGATGGTCCTCATGCCCGAAAATGTTCAACAGGCCCAAGGCTCTCTCTTCAAACGGGGGCCATATCTCAAGGATTCTCAAGGAACGGACTTCTCATGCGCCGTTCCGTAGGTCATTCGCACCTATTTCGTTTATCGGAAAATTTTGCGTAGGCTACAAAAGTTTAATGCGGGATCCTGAGGAGAAAGACCGGCACCTTCATGAGGGCTAACAAAATGACAGCATCCTGGCTGCATCATATCTCCAATACCGTCTCCTGGTTGTGCCCCTTAGCCCAATGATCCCATGAGAAACGCCTGACCGACCTTGGGTCAGCCAGATCAGCTACTGTAGAAGTGAGGCGATGGCAAGTCATACACCGAGCCGCTGAATCTGCTCACCGAATCTATTCTGCAGAGGAAACTTCGGCGACTTGACGTGCTTCTGTGGACCCACTTTCCTCCTCGTTCTCCTTCTCAGGCTTCTCCATGAACTCCTCCGGGAGTTCAGTTCAAAAGTCCACTAAGCTTGTCAGAAGCTTGGGTGGTGCGTGGATCTCCATAAGAGATCTGGGTCTTAGCTGGCCTCGATGCGGTTGGACAAGCGCCGCAGACCAATGCCTTACAACATCTTGGACTGTCAAAAGTCTCTCCCGGCCACCAGCCGATACCAGCCTAAATCAAAAGTGCAGGGGAGTAAGCTGAGTGGTTCTTGCTTCTTAGGCTCCTTACGGCCACGAGCCTACCTCGAGAAGTTGCAGTCAAGAAGTTGCGACGGTCAACCACAGATTCCAAGGTACCTTTGCCTTCTCGCTTGCGCAAACGGGACATCTTCTTGCCTCAGCCGGGTTCGGTGGCATCCAGGCCATGCAGCACTAAACCCAAAAAGGACTGAGCACGGCCAGGCAGCTCGACCAAATCTTGGCAACAACAGCATCCTGCTTGATGAAGCTGACCTCTGTTGAACGTGCTTTCGAGCGCAATACCACGGGAGTAAAAGGGCTTTACAATATCATCGACATCGGTGTCACTCGACGGACCCAGCGGTTGACAACTGTGATCTGTGCAGGGTGGCTTCTGGTCAGGGGGGCCAACTGGGCTGCAGACTGATGCAAACTGGGGCAAGGCACACTGACAACATAAGCTGGCTCTACCATGGAACGCTTGTCCATTTAAGTGGCCTCCTCCTCCTGCGCCTGCTGCCATTGTGGTGGAGCAGCTGCCTGGTAGCGGAGCAAGGAATCTGAGCATGGCTCGGTTCATGTGGCACACATGGTCTTACTCTGTCAAGTGGGCCCGATAGTAAACATAAAGCCCTGTAAGAACAATCGAAACAGTTCGCTACTTGTTGGACCCCTTCGTCTTCCGGAAATTGTTTGATTGGGGTAGTGCACGCCTGGTAGTCATCCCAGCCGGGGTGGTCGATGATCTTGCCATGGGAGACTTCAAGGACTCGCGTGGAGAACTCTCGCAGGAAGAAACCTCGATAAAACTTCTTCGTGAAGCTGAGCTGAAGATTGCAAGCACCGCTCTACACGAGCTTCGTGAAGCAAAAACCATCACCGATCATCCTCGACAAGCCGCGATCATGGCTGACCACCAGTGCTGCTCCTGTTTTTAGTAGCCAGCAGGACAAGAGGGCATCCAAAGTCGTGCGCAAGCAGTGGGACAACGGATGGTTCAACTCATGCGGCAATGCCTCTGCTCTGCTGCCACATGCTATGTAAAAAGCTTGCACCTTCGAAGGACTTCAAGGCGTCTTCCAGGAGCTCACGAGTAGGAATGTCCAAGTGATTGGTCGGCTCGTCGAGAACCAACAAAGCCACCGGCTTCAGCAAAAACTTGGCAAAGGCCAGTCGAGCCTGCTTTGAGAAAGCTGCCGGACTGATGCGGTTTGCACATGTTTGCACCTAGCATCTGGCCACAAAATGGCTGTCCCAGCCTTCTCGCCACCACTTAAGCTGGAAACGGGCTGCTTTGCCGTGACACCACTGAGCCTCAAGCGGTCCAGGACTGTTTCCTTGGAGGGCTCAGGAAATGTCAGGAAGATTCACTTTCGGGCGCAGGCCTCACCTGCAGATGAGAGCCACAACTGACCGACGAAGGCCACTGAGGACCACTGACTCATACTTCCAGCTGACAAAAATTTAGCAGTACCTGAAGGAGGTTGTCGTAAGCCGGCAAGTGGCGCATTGGCCATCAGGCAACTCTGAATTCTGCCCAAGGATCGACGCCGCCAGCGCGATCAATTTCCAAGGGTGTGCCTGAAGATGCAGAGCTGTGCATACAAAAAGTCTCTCACACAGCCGAAGCTGGCAGCTTGGGGAGACACAGTGAAGTTATATGAAGTTATCCTTGTTGGTTTGGTTGACCGCTGTTGCTAGTAGCTCTTGTTCGACTGATGTTGCTTGTGTCCCATGACGCACTGTCGTAAAAGATGGGTGCTCAGTGCTTCTTCACGAGCTTCACGGCACCAAGCCACATGACATGTACAGCGCATCCTGCACTGAGCCCTCCTCTGTGTTGAAGGCTTCGGCAAGTCCTCGGTGGCTGTGGGGACATGATTTCCGGCTTGATCTGCGTACTAAGCTAGAAGTACTGTCACATTCTGTCACGTGAAACCCTTCTTTGTTACAGACTCTAGGGTCGTTGGAGGCAGCAGCCTTGACTCGTGCTTTGTGGCCGCGAGATGCGGCCAGGTCTCTCTGGGGGAAGTAGGCAGCGCCAGCTGAGGTCATGGATGCTGCGCCTTGCATTCGGGTCACGCTGCAACAACAAATGGGGAATGCACGGCATTGCACAGGCAATCGCCAACAACGTCAGCCTTGCACACGAGCGGACTTGTCGAGGTCATTCACTAAAGCCTTGACGAGGGTGCTTTTGCCTCGTCTCTGAAACCAGTGAGAGCTCTCCTACAGCAACCATCCCTCAACACTCTGGCCCGCTCGAAGTCTCTCCGATGCCCGATGCCCAGAAATGCTTTGGCAGGGTTGCCGCATCCGTTCGGTCCGACCACTGCTACCTTCTCGCCCTGATGCAGAGAGAAGCTGATGTTCTTGAGAATCTCCTCAAGGTCGGCGCTTGTCAAGCGCAACGAGTGCCAGGTTGCTGCTGGGTTGTCATGGTTGTCTTGACGTACGTGCGCAGAACGATTACGCAGCAGCCTGTGATTTTTACCGGTATGGACCTGTCCAGCCATATGGACGTGACAGTTCCCAAGCCTTTTCCCAGACTGCTACGACAGGACACGCCGATGACACTCTGCTCCTTGTCTGGGAACGCGACATTCAAGTTGTCAACCTGCATTCCACGCAGGAAAAACAAGTTGTTCAACATGCAGCACTTCGACCATCTACGCCGTACGCCCAATCTGGCTGCTTGTTGAGGCACATTCGAGTAGACTTGCCTACTTGAAAGCTGTCCTGGTTAGTGTCTCAATCATAGGCTTGCCGGTCCTACAGTAGCTTTTGGCATGTAGTGGCTGGTCTTGGCGAACAAAGGGGGTGGTGTGCATTTCCAGCAGATGCACCTCAAGCAGCGCCAGCGGCTCTGCCTCTGAACCCCAAATGTCGTCGATCTCGGCTGATGTTTCCTGGACAGTTTAGTGAATGTTTCTTGATGCTCCTTCACCTGACATGTCTCGAACAGCACGAATTCTTGATGCAAAAATTGCAGCTCCTCCTCTGCCGATGATGGCTCCGTGGAGGGCACCGACAAGGAACACGGGAAGCGGAAGTTTTTCACCACCTTGACCTTGCCACAAAGCACACTGTGTCTGGGCAGCTCACGCGCTGAAAGCCTTTCGCTGGATTTGGATTCGCCCTGCCTCCGGCTTCGGAGGAGCTTTGGCAAGCAAACTCTCCATATCCTGCACGGCCATCTGGGATTATGATGCTGACTGGAATGAAGAGAAACTTCTTCGCAGACTCAGGTCAAGGAGTGGAATGATGGTAACAGCCCCATCAAACCGGACTGGTTTACATACTTCCTTTCGCAGGCTGCCCAAGAAGCTCCTTCTTCTTCTTCGCCAAGGTGTCCATCAAGAAACGCTGCTGCAGCTTCTTTATCCGCTTCTTCAGTCTCAGCACTTGGTCTCTGTGAAGGTTGTATGCCTTCCACTGCCGGTAAAAAGCGCCATCGCGGGCTTCCAGGTACTCGACATAGTTTCCGAAGTATGTCTTTGACTCGCCGTCTGCAATCTCCACTATGCGGTTGCAAACCTGGTTTAAGAAGTAGCGGTCATGGGACACGATGACCATTGCCACATCTTGAGCTCTCAGAAACTCCTCCATAAATTCAACGGTCTCCAGGTCTATGTGATTTGTGGGCTCGTCAAGGAGAATCAGATCTGGGCGGGAGAGGATGATCTTACCAAGAGCTACTCGCATCTGCCACCCGCCAGACAGCTCCCGTGTCAGCGTGTCTCGGTAGGACACCTCAAGCTTGTTCACGCCATGTCCCCTACACACTGAAGGAGGTCTCATTTGGGGGCGGGGGCCGGACGTTTAGCTGCAGCCGAGGTGCCAGATCTAGCTGCAATATCAGATCCTCGACCTGCGCCGGGAAGTGGCTTGAGAAAAGTCCGGCATTGGCTGCAGACAACGTACCATGAGCAAGGGAAGGGTAGGGCAACGATTCAGCTCAGAGTGATTTCGGATCCGCACTTGATCAAACCCCGTCCGATTTAGATCCACGACGTTCTTCCGGAATGAAGAGTCTGCACGCCGACACGACGGGGTTCAGGGCTCAGGTCTTCCCAATCGTTGAAGAAAAGTTTTCTTCGGTTTCGGTCCTTCGGGTTCAAAATGGGGGCCGAGATGTCGGTGGGGCAAACCCTTAGAACACACAAAAATTAAGGGACTTGCCCATCACCCAGATTTCATCCCCCCCCAACCCTGAGCCGTAAGCACCTTGAGTTTTCTTATAAATCCCACTTTTCTTCAATGACTAGGAAGACCTTTTTTTGGAACCCAAAACGGAGGCAGCGACCTGCGACTGCTGCAGAAAACAGCTCGGAGCTAAAACCCCAAATCCGTAAGCCCTAAATCGTAAGCCAGGTGAAGCACGGACCCAGTGTGTCCGGTTAGCTGCAAAGCTTGATCCTCTTGGTGCTGTCCGGGGTCCGAGGGGTCCGACAGAAGGCAAATGTGCGAAAGGGCATCACCAAACAGATGTGACCAGCAACATCAGCTGTCAAAACATGTCGGAGCCCCACCGCTCCGAGGTGCTTCTCGATGGAGTCGCGCTCCTTGGACCAGGATTGGTAGACTCAGCGGAAGGCAGAGGCCCTTGAATCGTGAGAGCCTCCACAAGCTTGTCCATCTCTTCTAGCCTCGCACCACGACATGGCAGCTTGGGATGCAAATGCCTCTCTGCCAGTACTATGAGCTGACACTGAGCACAGAGAAGATTCTAGAAGCTTCAAAAGAAAAAAAGAACATAAAGAACCCTGCAGCCTCGTGTCCACCGCTGTCGCATCCTTGATTGCCAAGTCGACCTCTGCGAGTGTCCGGTCGCCGAAGACAGACTGCAACTCCTGCCGTACGAAAATCTTGAAGGCACACGCATCGAGGCATCGAGCCGGGCCACTGTAGCATGCCAACAACAAACGGATTGCACGGATGCTCGCTGAGGGCCTGCGGCCAAAGCGGCTTGGGGAACAAAAAAAGCGCTTTCAACGTGCGCGGACATGTGGACTTAGGCCACCCTCTCCAGGCTCTGCCGTAGGAGAGCTTCGGCTTCTGGGGCTGGAGGGCACGGGGTGCGGCGTGGAACTGATGGATGCAAGTTGGGGGAGGATGGGGGGGAAGGTGAAGGGACTTTGGTATCAATTCGGGAATTGAACCTTGCTTCAGCAGGCACCAGACAACTCAAGCTGCATTAGCTGACTTGCCCTGAAGCTTTACGCCGATGCACCCGAGCCCGACCAATGCTACGGCATTCAACATGCGCGCAAGTCCGTCACGGGCCTCAAAAGCAGTCTTGCTATTGTCCAGGTCAGCCTCTTGCTGCATGTAGGCAATTCTCATGTTCTTGGGGTGCTTGATGATCCTTGCAGGCTTACAGATCTCACTCTCACTAACATCAGAGTGTGAGACTCTATCGCCCCAGCCTGCCGCCTGTTGGCTCAATTTCCTGCAGAATCATCAGGAGCTGAGAGCTTTTCCTCAGCACGACGTGCGACAGACCTACTCCAGGTCCTTGTTCACACCAACCTTCTGCAAGTTCTGAAAAGACACAAGGGTCGGTGGGGCACATGGTGCAACTTTGCAACCGAGGGGCCCGCAGCCATTGGGCCCAATCAGCCCAACTTTCTGTTTTCGGCAGATGCTCCAGCTGACGGACTCCAGGACCTGTGTAGGCTCAAGGAGCATGCTTTTGACAGGTCACATGGAACTGGAACAAGCTTGCAGCCAAATGACTGGCTTGGTCGAGAACCGCCCCTTCTCGCCGGCTCCTTCCACCGCCGGGGTCCAGGACACCTCCGCAATTCTCCACATTCATTTTGCCAGCTGCATGGCTACTTTGACATTTAGGCATGAGCTACTGAGAGGAGGCCTCATCCACAATGACGGCAGGCTGCACGTCGGGCACCTGGCGATGAAAACTTCCTATACTAATTTCAGGCACCTCATGGCACCTCCTTTCTGACTTGAATGGCAAGCCCAGCGTCACACTGCAAAGCTAGAGCAAAGCCCCTCCTCCCCTTTCCCTCCTTCCGGGGCAACTTCGCTACGCTGTCACTTCTCATTCCGACTCAGTCACCCCTTACCTCACTTTAGTGGCCCGCAATGACCGCAAAACACTAGACTCAAGCCAAACTTTCTTGTCATCTAATTCATCATCTAATCAGGCGACATGCTCACGCACAACGATGCCTTGCTTGGATCCAGCTCGGATCTCCGAAGCACTGTCGGCCGCCGCCTCGTGACAAGACGTGGCGCTGAACACAGGCAAAGTCTGAATGGAATCCAAGATCGGAAAGCAAGAGGACAAAGTGCCTGTGTCAATTCGATCCCTTCCTATTCTCCAAACCGGCCAGACCCACAGGGCTCACGGGACGAGCCTCGATTTCCTTTTCCAAGTCCGCGACTTCTGCCGGCCTCGTCACATCTCTTCACATCAGAGATTTCATCTGGAACTTTGGGATACTTTGAGTGATATGGGGCTCTCACGTACTTAAGGGAAGAACACAACGACCTGACATATTGACTTGCTCGCCTTCTTTGGGCCGGCCGCCCGCTTCACGGCCGCGGTTGTCCGAGGTTTGTGCAGACTCCTTGTCACAAGGCTGGCAGCTTACGTCGCTACACCTTTTCTGTCTCGGGCCAGAAGAAACAGACATTTGCCATGGAGCGGATCCTGTTTCTGCGCAAGGCGCACGGCACGCCAACGCGCACTTCGTGCTGGCCCCAGTCCGCGACTGAGGCGAAGGGCGCGGCAAAAGGATAGGAGCCCGCAAGCTGCCAGTGTGGTTCTGGGTGGAAGTCTCAGCGGTCGTGGGGCGGAGCCCTGCTCTGGGAAGCATAGTAGCATAAGAGACTGGCACAGACAGCTAAGCTTCTTTGATTCTCTATATTCTCTTCAGGCTTGTGCTTGTTAGGGAACCTCATGCGGCTTTGATGTGGCTTTGGGCTCAGGTCAGCATATGTCAGCACGTGCATTGATAGCATTGCGTCCGGGAATCCCATTGCCACGTGTTGGTTGTGGCCGTACCGGCGCCAGCCGCGGCTTTGCCGCCCGCAGCGCTGCAGCCGCCAGGGACGTCGCAGGACTTGAGTCCATCAGCACAGGAATCATGGGACCACCGAAGGATTTGTACAAGTAATGCTCTGTACTTCAGAGTACAAGCTGTGACAGGGCCCGGGGCGGTGCAGTCATTAAGGCTGTTCGCGGCTTGCCGATGGTTCTAAGAGAGTCGTTGTGCAACACTCAGTATTGTAAGCACGTCGGATCTATGCAAATGTCCATGTTGCCAGTTGAATCTGACCAAAATGCTTGACATGAGTCGTGCGGGTGATCTTGCCATAGCAACAGTCCTAACCGCCAAGCATTTGCCTGCGTATCAGCACCCTGATGTTACATGATCCTGCATCTTTCAATGAAATTAATCGTCTGCAGTGGAAGCAGCACCTCCTCCTCGCTCTCGAGGGGCTCGTCTTCAAAGGGGGCAATTTGATGCTCGTCCTGTCCACGTGTTGGTGAAAGCTCGAGAGGTTTGCTTGCTGAAGCGGCGCCTCTACGTATGCGGGCTGCAGCTCTTCCGACGAAGCCTTCTCCGCACATGCTCAATCTTCGTGAGTTCTTCGTGCCATGTCATGCCTTCCAAAGAGCACTGCTGGTGTTACCTTCTATTCATGATACAACGTGATACAACGCAACCTCCTCCAACCATGTGCAGCTGGGTAGCGGTCGCGGCTGGTTGCTCAGTTCTCGCCTCGGCTGTTGTGACGGGCCCCGTGGCCGGCTCAAAGGCAGCTGCGTGCGCCTGGCAAAGCAGGTTCAGGGCAACATGTCTCTGTACATGTCTGCAGGTGTTAGCCGCTGTAAGCCTGTCTGCTTGCCGGTCTCTGCATGCTGCATGCCTCGAAGGATATTGCTGCTTTGAATTCCTCTGCCTGCTCTTCATCACCGTGCCGCAGCTTCCCCGGCTCCTGCGCACAGCAACCGCCGATTTAAGGGCAGATGCATATATGCAGCATGCACGAACCACCTCCCCGGCTTGGACTGGACGCGGAGGCTGCTGTGGCTGACTTGGCTGAACTGGAGGAGCACCTGGTGCCTCTGGCTTTCCAATTGCCGTTAGCCTCACTTTGTATGTGTCTGATGGGTTCTCCAGCACGAGCAACATATCCTCCTCTTTGTCGAACTCTGGTGCTTCGGGAACACTCCATGCTGGAAGCTCTTCTGCAGCTGGAATGATGGCACACTCAAACTGGAACCGCCAGCCGCTTCCCTGAACTGCATCGCCGCACGCAGCAACGATGTCAGTCTTCCATGAGTCGACCTGTGAGGAGTCATAGGTATAGTGCTGAAGCACATCGTGAATCTTTTCGTTGAACACCTTGTGGAACTGAGAAGGGTCGGCCTCAGAACTGCTCTGGGCTCAGAACTTCAAACGCGGAGTGCCTGTGGGTGTCAATGAGCTCAGGACATCCCTGTGCGAAGAGCTTTCTGGCCGTGTCGGCGAGGGGTCCGCCACCTATGGCACATGCCGTCACTACCATGGCTTGGAATCACTGTTCTCGTTATGTCGGCCTTGTTGTTAGGCGCTTACTCGTTCGAGTCATCGTCTGGCCTTGCCGTGCTCAGGACTCGCAGCAGGCGCTGCCTGCAAGGCATGCATGCTGCGTTGGTAAGGACTTCAAACTACATGCAAATGATAACCACCTCTTCCTCCTCGCTCTCGAGGGGCTCGTCTTCAAAGGGGGCAATTTGATGCTCGTCCTGTCCACGTGTTAGTGAAAGCTCGAGAGGTTTGCTTGCTGAAGCGGCGCCTCTACGTATGCGGGCTGCAGCTCTTCCGACGCAGCCTTCTCCGCACATGCTCAATCTTCGTGATTTCTTCGTGCCATGTCATGCCTTCCAAAGAGCACTGCTGGTGTTACCTTCTATTCATGATACAACGTGATACAACGCAACCTCCCCCAACCACGTGCAGCTGGGTAGCGGTCGCGGCTGGTTGCTCAGTTCTCGCCTCGGCTGTTGTGACGGGCCCCGTGGCCGGCTCAAAGGCAGCTGCGTGCGCCTGGCAAAGCAGGTTCAGGGCAACATGTCTCTGTACATGTCTGCAGGTGTTAGCCGCTGTAAGCCTGTCTGCTTGCCGGTCTCTGCATGCTGCATGCCTCGAAGGATATTGCTGCTTTGAATTCCTCTGCCTGCTCTTCATCACCGTGCCGCAGCTTCCCCGGCTCCTGCGCACAGCAACCGCCGATTTAAGGGCAGATGCATATATGCAGCATGCACGAACCACCTCCCCGGCTTGGACTGGACGCGGAGGCTGCTGTGGCTGACTTGGCTGAACTGGAGGAGCACCTGGTGCCTCTGGCTTTCCAATTGCCGTTAGCCTCACTTTGTATGTGTCTGATGGGTTCTCCAGCACGAGCAACATATCATCCTCTTTGTCGAACTCTGGTGCTTCGGGAACACTCCATGCTGGAAGCTCTTCTGCAGCTGGAATGATGGCACACTCAAACTGGAACCGCCAGCCGCTTCCCTGAACTGCATCGCCGCACGCAGCAACGATGTCAGTCTTCCATGAGTCGACCTGTGAGGAGTCATAGGTATAGTGCTGAAGCACATCGTGAATCTTTTCGTTGAACACCTTGTAGAACTGAGAAGGGTCGGCCTCAGAACTGCTCTGGGCTCAGAACTTCAAACGCGGAGTGTCTGTGGAGTGTCAATAAGCTCAGGACATCCCTGTGCGAAGAGCTTTCTGGCCGTGTCGGCGAGGAGTCCGCCACCTATGGCACATGCCGTAATCATCCGCAATCCATGGTGAAATAGCCAGGATTCTTGACCATGGCACAAGCATCCCGGATCATCCCAGCCTCTCTATGTGTAGGAATTGCTTCAGGACTTGCAGGAGGCGCTGCCTGCAAGTCTTGAACTCTGCTTGCAAGTCTTGAACTCTGCTTGCATGTGGGCAAGCACTTCTAACTGCATGCGCAACCTGCCGGCAAATACTATATATTGTCAACACATGACCTAACAAGGCTGAATATGTCAATGTATGTTTCTGTATGCTTATATAGATACACACACTGATCTCTGCACACTTAGCTGCTCACATGTAGTTGTGGATCTACATATGTACAGATATCAGTGCATGTGTGTATATATAATATTTAATATACACATGTGTCGCTCTCTCCCTTTCTCTCTCTGCGCTCCTTCTTCTTCTACTGGGCTTAGGGGTCAGGTCGCGCCCGCAGTCCGGATATCTTCCTTCATTCCTTCCTTCCTTCCAGCACGCATTCCGCATGGTCACCAAAGTGGCCGCCCTCGAGAGCACTTTAGGGTCGCCCCACGGACTTGTCCAGTGTTTCAGGCTCACAAACACCAGCCCCCTTTTGGGATTGGTCAAAGCAGCGTGCGCCCACGGACGATGTCTTTCTCTCTCTCTCTCTCTCTCTGACTCTCCTCTTCTTCTTCTTCTTCTGCCCAGCGAAGGGGGCCCCGAGGGGTCTCACTCTGTCCCTTCCCAGGGTTTGCGAGGTGAGAAATGTGCGAGCAGTTTCAAGGTTCCCCCTTGATCCCCGATTTAAAACATAATAATATGTAAACTTTCTGCTCAGCATGTCCTTTGTCTGCCTAGCACGTACTTGGTTCAACCACAACTCTCACTCACAACCTTGCTACAACCTTGCTGAAAAGCTCCCCTCCCCCGCAGTGTTCAAGGCCCCGCCCATGTTGGTTATATCGTTCCCTTCTTGTTGGCTGACTTCGCTGCCCCTCAGCTCTTTTGCGCTCTCTCTTTCTCTCTTCCTCTTTCTGTCTTCTTCTTCTGCTCTGCCCTTTTGGCTTGCAGAGCCCAGCTTTGAAGCTGAAGGGTGGCCTGCTTCAAACACGACCTGGGCAACACAACTCGGAACATGGCATGTTCTTTTGGAAACGCATTGAAACACATTTAGCCAGTTTTGAGGTTCGGCACAATGAAACCGACAGCAAGTCTCTGCGAACGCCCCAATCCCCCCCCCCCCCCACTTCAACCTTTGGAATTATGAATGTTTCGCAAGCTTCAGAGCACCTTCGATTCCTGATTACTGTAAAAACAACGATGCTTCTGCTGCATGCGCGCATTAGGATCCACTGCGCGCGACGCGCGCACGAAAAGCATCGCAGGACCGGCGCAACAGAACATGTAGTGAATGCATCCAAGCCAGGCATCGCCCTCCTTAAAGGCAAGTCCTGTACTGGCACATATGGAGCCAAGCCGCCGTTTGGGCTGCGCCTCCTGTGAAACAGACAAGAGATGGGAGGTGGGGCTGCCATGGAGGGGGGCGAAGGCTGACTGGTCTTTGTGAATCTCAGTGGTAAGGGCAATGAAAGGTGTGAGAGGCGTGACGCTCTGGACAGGTGACTATTCACTCTGGTGTCACTACTCCATTAATCATCTTGATCTGGCAGCGGCGGGCTCCCTTTTCTCAAAGCGATGACGAAGGCGAAGCTGGCCGTTTTCACATTCATCGCAGCAGATACCTCAGTCCTCAGAAATGTGGGCGAAGTTGTTGCCCTGGCGCAACAGTGTGGCGAGCCCATGTTCCTGTTGGAGGACTGAGGGATGCCTGCCATTGTGCTGGCAAGGCGCTGGCTTCGCCTTGCTGCATGCTCTGTGAGTAGGCTGTGAGGGGCTGTGTCGGATAGCCGCCTGCTTGTGACCAGCTTGAAACAAGCGGAGTCTGCGGCCTCCAGCTTTGGGAGTTGGGAAGCGTCGAGGTGGGTGGTGGTGGCCACCCATACCCTTGGGGCCCTTGTGTTGCCCGTGCCTCGGGGACGCGCAAGCCGAAGAAGAAGGACCACGCCTGATCCAAAGCACCAGGCCGCTGACCCGGACTTTCAGCATCTACGGTGTCTTGTGGTGGAGGCTCAAGTCGATAACGCATTGGCTCCCTGGCATCTGACGTGGCCGCATCCTCGCCGTCCTCACGGTTTGTCTCCAAGTTATCCATCTCCACTTCCTCCTGTAAAGTCAGAGTTGGATCTGGGAAAGAAGTGCCCTTCTCCCCATTAGTCGAACTGATTTGGCTTTGGCTAGCGGCTAGGACAGGATGTCGACTTGAAAAGTCGGCTTGGTAGTTTGGGTGCTGCAGAGTCTCAAAGGGGCCATGATCGCTGGGGTCAAGGAGCGATTCTGGGCATGGGCAGTTGCCTGGGGCCTGGCACATTCCCAGTCCGTACAGGCGTTTCCACAACGTGTGGACCAGACCTGCCAAGGACCGTGACTTTAGCAGTGTCGTGCCGGCACTGCTGGGTCCTGATTGGACTCCAGGCCTTGTAAAGGCAGCCGACTCGCCAAGACTCGGCTTTGAATTGTAAGTAGGTGACTTAAGTGTGGAGTGAATGGGCCTTGCTGATGCCGCCAAGCCTGGCTACACGTCTTTGAGCAATTGCTTGAAATGCCTGGCAGACTAGGAACCTGTATGCAAAATACCTTTAACTTTACCGTTGCCCTTTGTTCCCACATGTATTTTCATGTTACACTCCGTTGGAAAGCAGAAGCTGTGGTTGACATGCTGCGTTGTTTCATGACCCCCGTCCGCAAGAAGCCCGCTCACTGCTGGAGCGAGCACCGTTGTTCGCCGACGGACGGAGGGTAGCTGAGGATTCACATGCACATCCTCTTCCTCGACAACATGCATGGGGACCTCGTCGTAAAGGATGTAGAAGACACAGTCTAAGCGAAGCAGCCGCTCTTCAGCAGCTTGCAAGTTCTCCTTCCTCTCGGCTTCAGTTTTGAGGCCCTGAGGATAGCGCACAGCAGTTCCACTGGCCTCTAGGTCCTTAATTTTTTGGGAGATCTCCATCAAGATCTCATACCGTCGCTGCTTCCCGATTTCCACCATCATCCAATCAACTCCAGCCAGTGTAGTGAAGAAGTACTTTGCCATGGCAACTCCAGCAAGTTTGATCCAGAAACTGGGTTGCAGCACTGAAATCTGTTCAGCAATGTACTTGTAAGCATCCCTCTCCACGCTGGCATTCTCCTCCTCGGAATCCTCATCACCTATTGTCAGCTTGTATCGTTTCCAAGCGAAGGTACAGATGAATACGTATCCGATAATCGCAAGGACTGTTGATGCTCGGTTCATGCTCACCTTAGTGCCCCCGGCGTCATGTGATGCCTCCTCGCTGTCTTGAGTGCTTTTTTGGTCCTGGGCCATCTGTCTTCGGCCAAGCTGCCATGACCTGCGCAACGGCCTTGTCTGTGAGTGGCCGAGTGATGCTGTAGTAGCTACCGAGAGCAAGGTACCTGAAAACAGGCCAGCTGTGTCTGACAAGTCCACGGCCTGTATTTAGAACTTCCCGAGCACGGTTAGTTCCCGACTGTTTATTTGAGCAGTGGCACACCATCGGGCCGAATGCCATGACCAGCAGGCCCAACAGCATCCAGAAGTCTCCAAGAAGCTGGAAGAAGATGTGATACATCCCCCAAGTCATCGGACAGTAAAGGAGTGGCAAGACAACCACAAACATGCCTTAGGTTGGGCACTTGCGACAGGCCATCGTGCCGGATACAGTTCAAGACAGAACTGGTTCCGCACACCCCCCCAAAGTTCCAAAAAACCGGTGCTTTCCCTAATCCGCCGCACTTCAACTGCCCCTCTGGTCATTGCCCCGAGACCAGGAATCGTGGACTGGGGTGCGGTCACCTTCACCTTCAGCAAGCTCATACACTCTTCAGATCTCTTCAGGTTGTGGGGTATTGATGGGTCAGGGTATGTCGGGGTATGTGCGGGCCTACTGGTCCCCACCTTCAATGCTCCCCGCAGCAGCGCAGGTGCCAGCGCGAGGGCGGCTGGCATGATTGTGTTGAATCCTCGAAGCCTTTGTGATTGGGTAGAATCTGTCTCCAAGGCATCTCTACGACTCTATGATTCTCTACGTTCCTAACGAAGAGTTTTCTGCAGTCATTGGCCTGAACGTATCTCTGCCTTGCTGAATCTCTGAGCAGCCAGGGCGCCCATTGATGAAGCCCATGCCCATTGAAACGCTTTGTTTCATTCTTTGGGCGATTGGGCCAGCGGAGGCTGCCACTTGGAGCGCATTCTCCTTGCACGCAAGATGGGGTTTTAAAGCTGGAAACCCACAAAAACTCTTTTCTTCGTTTAACAATGTCAAAAGGGTCCCCCCCCCATTCCCCCCCACTTCTTCACTAGACGGCAATTGGATACCCGGAGCCGGAGCCCTGATGTTTCAAGTGTCAAAGCCGAGCTCAATGGTCCCCTTGAGGTTTGGCATGACCGTCGTCCGGCACAGCTCTGTTGCCTGTTCAATCGCCTGCTTGTGGAAGCGGTCTGGCTGCTTGAGGTAGTGCTCTATCTGGTCGCAGGTTGAATGGATCGGCCTGGGGGTCTCGGGTCTCCAAGAGACCACGACTTCAATACCGAACTTCCATGAAATCGCTTCCCCTACGGACACGAATCAACACACTGCCTGAAATCGAAGTCTACAAGCTTGATGAAGGAACAGCACTTCAAATGTCTGTTCGGAGTCATCTTCAGCGTGGAGCAAGTCTTTGTTGCAAAACGCTCGGCGTTTTCCACATGGCCTTTCTCATCGATGTCTATGAGCTGCATGCATGCCTGGTTCACAGTCGATGCCAGGTCTTCCGTGTGGTTACCTGGAGTTAATGACTGGAGTGTGATGTTCTGCGTGCCCGGTTGAACTCATGTCAACAAGAGCAAGGACAAACTAAAGGTGCACAACGCCGAGCATCCCATGTGCTGCGAAAGCTCGCTGGCGAAAGTATGCACCACCGGGTCCAGCACAGTCCAGTCCACGAAGAGCCGTGTGGGAATCACAGTTGCCTTAAGGCACTTCATGCTTCGAGCTGCCATGTGGAGCCCTTTCGAATACTTCCGAACTAGAAAAGCAGAAAGGTTCTGTGTCTCTGAGCCTATCAATGCCAAAGACGCCAGGAAAGGCGCTACCAAGCTGAAGGCCCAACCTGTCAGCACCCCGCGGTGCGACTGGTGGAAATGGGACCTGGGAGCCCAAAAACGCCCCCAAGAGATACGAAGCATGCTAACGTCTATAGGCTTGGATGCGAAACAGTATGTGCTAACAGCTCCAGTGTACTTCAGCTGAGTGCAGGCACCCAAGCCTTGTCACCCCTCGAGCGGAAGCGGCTTGGGGTTTCGGTTGGGTAAGGCACCCCCCATAGGCAAGTCAAAGCAAGGACCCTCGGCGCTAGTGCATGGCAGCTGGCCACTTTCTCAGCGACCACCACAGCAGGTAGCAGCCTGGAGTGCTGCGTACAGACAGCTCTGTGACAAGTTGTGACAAGTGGCAACATATGCCCTTAACCCCGCTCCAACAACCAACCACTGCCCGCCAGCCATAACCTAAGGATGCACAGTAAGAGCCGGCCGAGCAGCTGGCTGCTTGGCATGCCACTTCAAGAATTGCTTGCAAGATGTCCATCATCGCCGTTTGACTGATAATCTTGGCAAACCTTGCTGCGATGCATCGCTCTCACTTTCCCCTCACTCCTTTCCAGGTATTCTTCCAATTTGCCGTGCCACCACCATCACACTGGTGGTTCTCAGTCTATTGTTGGAATGGTTCAGGTTGCCCCCCACTTTACTTGTGGCAAGCCTTCGCCACAAACAGCCCCCCTTGCTGACTGGAGCAAGCCAGCTTGGGCTGCTTCTTCTTTTGGCGCTTATACACGGCGAGTTTGAAACTGGAGTTTAGTCTGAGACTAGTTTGACAACAGCCTCCCTATCGTACCGTGGATAGACGAAATCCTGCATCATCTTTTACAGCAGGCTACAGTATCCCTTCCAAACCCAGAATCTTCACATAATATTGGTTTCCCAGAACAGGTGCATAAGGCATTTGCGTCAATGACCCAAATCCTGCTCTGCCATGCTTTCATCAACGTTGAAATTCGAGGGGTGCGGGGTTTGTGCTAGTTGACGTGCCATGCTCATCTTGTACCCGGTCATGCGATTTTGTCCAGCATCTTACATAGAACCGCATAGAATGCCAATCGAACCAAACGAGTTGCATCACGAAAAAAGGCGCGGCGAAAAGCTTAGCCGATGCCGAGGAACATTCCTGTGTAGAGGTGGGTAGTATAAGCAAACCATGCTTCTGGGTCTTTGGAGCTCCAGTCTTTGCTTGACATCTGCACAAACTGCGGGAAGCGAACCACATCGCCATCGATCTCAATCCCTGACGCACAGTGAATTTCATCTACTCATTCTGACTCATTCTCCAAACAGTCCAAAAACAAGCAGCAAGGTCAGACAAGGTTAGACAGTAACCTATTCGATCCAAGTGTCGGCTTTTGTGGACCCACGCTTTTCTTGTCATGATAGCATTTGGAACTTCCGCAGCTTCCAGAAAGAATGCTAGCACGCAAAACACCACCGAGACAAACATCATGCTACGACGTACGGTCAAGAAGTTAATGACTGCATCGTTAAAGACTTTGCGCTGTGATGCAAGGAACGCTTTCTCGGTGGAGGAGTAGACGTTCTTGTCTCCAGAAGCTGTTTCCATAGACCGCAGGAAGTGGAGTGGTAGGAGCATCGCATAGTTCACGAGCATTCGCCAATCCTCTTTGTGTCTCCAGTGGGACAAACAAACATGTTTGCTTCGTCTACTTACAGCATCTTACAGTATGTGCTCATCGCTCAGAAAGAAGATCTTACCTTCGAGTTCTACTTGTCGACACGAGCCCACGCCCTGCCCTGCCCGCATCTGGAGCACACGGGTTTACACCGCCATCGCTTCGAGCTCGTGCTGTGAGCAGCAGAAGCCCATTGATTCTGATTGCCAGCTTGCGACATCTTTCCCGAAGTGGATGCATTTAGGGCCTTCGACGGTTGCTTTCCGCAATTCTACGCGGTATTTGGAGAACAAATCACTGACGGAGTGTGCACAGCGCGCAGTGCCTGCTTCAGGGTCTGGGCGGGCTGGATTGCTTTGGCTGGCAGTCTGTTAGTACCAAGCCAGTACCGTGACAGGATACAAACAAAACACTCCGACATCAGTCTTCGACTTCAACAGCAGCTAACTAACACGTACAGCACATTGCATTACTGTGCTCCTTCTTCCGCTTCCAGGCAATGCTGCTGATGGTAATTGGTTCATAGAAGCTCCCTTGTTGAAGAGAGCTGCAGCAGCCATATGTTAACACCGAGCCGATCCACAGGAACAGAACTCCCGTAAGCAGCCAAATGGCCTCGACTTGAACAAAGCAAAGCTCAGACTCTAACTAGTTGCGCATCAGCCTAGGTCCTATAGGTCGTCCCGGAAGCCATTCTACAGCCGACAATGCCAAAAGCGCTATATTGCCCTAGACGCTGTTTCGCTGGAGATGTTGGTTTCTGTGGCCAACCAGTCTGGCCAGCCACGGTCATCTTGCGTGTCGGACATGGCCAGCTCTTACCGCCAAGCAGGGCAGGGGTGGGCAGGGGCTAAGCTGCACCACCTTTACAGAAGCGCGTCCATGCGCCATGGCGCCTCACCAACGAATGAGATGCAGAATGAGATGTAAAATGGACTGATGGTGATGATGATGATGATGATGATGTAGAATGTAACTTCCACTCATGCGATCCCAGTGCCAACCAAATCCGACCCGTCGAGTCCCAACATTTGCTTGCCCTTACCCCCGTGTTCGATGAAGAGCATAGGCAAAGCTTCGTCCGAGCCAGCGGCAGACACTGCAGCTTAGAGGCTTAGAGCTTCGGAACATGTCGGAACCTGCCTTACACAGCGTCTGGAGCTGTCTGCTGACAGGGATCCCTTGCTCCCCACCCATTAGAGAAACCACACCCCAATACACCCTGCTTGCATTGTATGCAAGTTATGCAAGTGATGGTGAATCACTTCACTGTTGGCCGACGCACCTTCGAGGAGCCTCTGCTGTTTGGTGGCGTCGCCTCCTTGCCAAAAAGCCAATTGACTTACCAAAAAACAAACTAAAGAAGCAATGGCTGTGCGCACCCAGAAATCTCATGCCTCTGCTCGTGAGACAGAAGGCGAAGGCGAACCTGTGGCCCACGTGTAACAGCTGCACGATGCTAAGTCGCTAAGACGAAGCTCAGGCCCCAAAAGGTTGGACCAAAGGACAGCTGCCTTTCAAGCACGACCTCAAGGGCTGAGAAGAAGCATCCGACGGCACCTTCCACGGGAGCCATCCGAGGTGCCATATTCTTCATGCCCAGATGGGAAGCGCTTTGGCCTGCTCCTCGTTGCAGAAAGGCTGCACCTATCAGTCAAGGGAGTCTGGAGTCTTCCAGCCTTTTGGACTTTGCTTCTAGATGTAACAGCGTGCGCAGTTCGACCGCCAAAGATGACTACACACCCCGTGGAGCGTTAAGCTCTCCAAGCACACATTTGTGCCGCAAGCCAAACAAGCTCTAAAGCCGAAAGCGAAATCAAGCGAGCCTCGTTTGACAAGTCCTGCTTATTCGCAGTGTGCCTCTCTGTGGCCTCTGGTGTTTGCCTCAAGCTTGTCTTGTTGGAGGTGCACCATCTACAGCAGTCACAGCTGCGGCGAGAAGTCCGACGCATCAATGCAAAGGGAAAATCGTGTGAGAAGTCCCTACGGCGGGCCCTACGAGTAGCTCGAGAGATGATTTATGACTGACCAGCAGAGGTGCCTGGCCGAGTCCTCGCCTGGTGCCCTGCGCCGCACTCGAGGACCACGATCCTGCGGCGCGGTTTTGCAGCTCGGTCATAGGCTGCGACGGCCTGTTGACACGTTTTATCTGCCCTTGAGCCTCAGGTGGCCGACCAGGGGGTGGTGTGATGGCAATGGCGCGGTCAGGCCTCAGTGTCTCAGTGTAGATTCCAGGAGCATTCAACATCATTCGAAACATCACTCAACCCAGCTTCAGTTTGCCTGCTCGAAAAAAGCCACAGAACCGGGAACCCGGGCTCATCGCCAGCTGATTTGCGGCTACTGAAATTGTCCACTGACGGGCCTGGACCATAAACAAGCCAGTATGTGCACGTACAAATAAATAGTCCACTATGATGGAATGAAGCAGCGGCGTGTGACCGCGAGACCGCCGAGCATCCAAAGAGGATAGTTTGGGATGGACTTCGATCTTCACTTCACATGTCCACTTGGCTTCCTTTAGGTTGACGGGTCAGTGCCTCCTGCACCAGTCCTGCTTCCGTTGTCTGCGAATATCGACGCGGATGCTCGCTGCTCGAAGGGGTCAGCAGCTGCCACTGCCCCTGTCAACAAAATCTATAAAAGGGCTTAGGCTTGCGGCTTGCGCTTCACTGTGAGTAGCCGCAGGTTACATGGGCAGCAGCTGTCAGACAAGAGTGTGTGTGAGTGTGTGTGCGCGCGCGTGCGCGCGCGTGCGCATGTGGGTGTGCGCGTGCGCGCGTGCGCATTTGGGTGTGTGTGTGGGTGGGGACGGGAGGGGGAGGGGCGTGGGCGTGGGGCACAGGGCCCGGGGCGTGGGTGCGTGCGCACCCTTGTGCTAAGCTAAGCGGTTCTACACGAACGAGTTGCCGACCGAGTTCTGACTCAGTGTCGGAATACTTGAGGTTTGCCATCAAGTATCGAAGGCCTCTCGAGCTTGCTGTGGGCACAAAAAAGTCCTCGAGCGGGTCCTTGCAATTTGTGCAGCTTGCAATGTTTGGCCTCGCCGCTAGCCGCAACTGCCGTCCACAACTCCGACCCAAGTCCTCGAAGGCAGAGGACGAGGGTGCCGACGCCCGGACACGTGGCATGTGCCTGGTCGAAGTGTTCAAGCGGAGAGGAAGAGAACTCGCTGCAGAGCACCGTGGTCGAACTGGTCTGTGCGTGCTGCCTAGCAACCTTTGCTGGCTTAGGCTGAAGCTCAGGAGCAGAATGGAGTAGACATGAGTCGACGACAAATATCACGAACAGAATGTGAGAAATGATCCCATTGCAGCCCCTGCACCCTAATTGCACTTGTAGCTCCTCGGAGCTCCCCACATCTTTTTTGCGGGCCAAAGGGCGGGCCGTCTGTGCACAGCAAGGGCGCCAAAACCAATGTTTGGCAAGAAACAGCTGCGGGAGCTATGCGATGTGCTCGACATGACTGCTTTAGTGTCTGGACGAACCGATGCAGGAGCCTGCCGAGCCCTAAAGTACGTGCGGACCTGATGCCGCGGCTGATGTGGATAGACACGCTTATGGGCTTTGAAGCGGGGGGCAGCTTTTGATCCATCGCATTGGTCCTTTTCCCCAGCACCTGACAAAGTCACATGGGCGGTGCTAGGCCAAGTTGTGTGACGGATGGAATTCCCGGCCTTGGGCCGGGACGTCAGGGCCCAGCTGCATTCAGCAGATTTGTAGAGTATGCCTTGGCTCCACACGCACACGACGCAAAGCATCCCAGGTCTGCCATGGGTCTGCTATAGCCCTGTGGCGGTATGCATGCATCAGGTCGGTAAGGTTCTTGTATCCATGGTAGCCTTCCACGCCCCAGCAAGAGCAGGGATGTCTTCGTGAAGGGACTCGAACGAGCCACGCAAGATGAAACGGAGACAGAAACCACACTTGGACTCCCTTGGCGGCCTATAGCGAAGGGTGAGACCCAAAAGTCTGCCGATGGAGTCACCTGCACAACGCTCTTTCGTACTGCAACAGAGCCTTGATGTCGGCAGCAGACGCAGTTCAAAAGACTTCGGAGTCCAAGTCCTTCCATAAACCCATCCAAGGCCTCCGAGGGCTGGCAGGTCATCCAGCGGTGTAGCTCAGGCTCGAAGCCGTAGACGTCGCACAAGGCATTGGCCAAGTTCCTAGGACTCGAATCAATGCAGGTTTCATTGGGCTGCAGGACATGTGAAAGGCGTGACTTTTCGCGCCAAACATGCCAATCAAATGACAAGGCTAAGCGTAGCCCAAAATTGCCCATGAGCTTGAAGGACCGAAGGAATCTTGAGACATTTTGCAAATTCTTGCAAGGCACTCTAGGCTGCCTGGAGCGATGCTTGGTCCCGGCAGTGGGGGCAGCTTCCGCTTTGCCAAATGCTCCTGGCCTTAGGCTGGGAGCTTGGCACTGCCCGACACTGATTTTGCTAGCCAACTACCATCTTTCTAACAAAACACAGCGCTGCTACCTGCCACAGTCCCGCTTCCCTGCCAAGCTTTGCACAGGGCAGTGGCTCCGTGGCAAAAAAGTAGCGCCCGATCTCGTCCTTCTCACAGGCAGGGAACAGACTGGCGCAGACCCCGGCAAGACGCGCATCAAGACTTCATACTTCCAAGACGCCCCTGCACAATGCCTCCACAGCCGGATGTGCTGTGACGTTGGAAGCGACGAAGCAACGCCCGAGCATGATGTCCCACCTTAAGTCTGGAAGCTGCTTCAGATTCTTGAACCTTGACGCCATGGAGGTTTACCATTTCATCAAGGTGCCAATGACCAGCAACAAAGCCACCTGAGATGACAGCTATGTCCCCATGCGTGGAGGTCTGGTTGAGTTTGAATTTAGCCTCCCTCCCCCTCCCCTGCCCTGCAGAGTTGAAGGCAACATTAGGCACGATGTGATGCAAAAGACTAAAGTCTTTGCCGGCTTTTGTCCTGCCAAGTTGCAGCCATTTACTCGGTGTGCCACCTTCTTGTCGTGGACCACCGTCGGCGCCCAGAAGCCAACCTGCCGCAAAACATGTGCATTGAAACGACGTTATCCACGCCATTACCAGTTGCTGGCTTTGCAGTCGATTGCAATGAGTTGTCAGTTACCGCTAGATCCATGACGCTCAGGGAAAAAGCGCACCATTTTTGCAGTGGCACGCGCAACCACGAACTCCGGTTGCCTGCTTTGGAAAAGGGTATGTCACAGCGTTCTTCTCCAACCTCGGTTGCAGCCGAGTCTTCTTGATCTTCACAACTGCAGCAGGAAGAGTAACCGTAACGTCTGAGCAGTTGCCGCATATGCATACGCAACGTAGCATCCCAATCGAGCAAGCTCTATCTGCAATATAGCGAAACAGCTGTCAACTGCTCGAGACACTCATGGCTTTGCACCTCAAAATGCCCTGATCATCACTGCGAACCATTGTTAGTCGGTGCTGTTTCTCACTTCGTCTCCGTGCTGCGAGTTTTAAACTGTGTGGTTTCATGATGTTTCATGTCTTCGCATTTCTTTGCCATCAAAGGGCTTCAATGGCCTCTAATTGGAAGGAACCTCGGGATGGTCTGGTTAAAGTTTGTGGCATGTCTCTTGTTGGTATCGGACACATATTTGGAAGGGCACCTTCCCTGTGCTTGTACCTGGAAGGAACACTGAATAGACGTGGCTTCTTGAGCTATGGCTCTGCTCTTCTGCGTGTGGTTTGTGTTGCTTCCTTGCTGCTACGATAGCTGCCGCACGCACGTTTTGCTTGAAACCACGCAGGCAAGAGCCACTCGAGTCTCATACGTTTCAACGAATGGAAGCTGCAGAATTACGTCTTCGCGGGCGCGCAAGCATGAACGGAAGAACATGCAAACATCAGCCCGCTTGAAGGAGCCAGAGCGACTGGCTTCATCTCAGAAGTATCTGTACCATAGTGTCTCACACTGCTTTGCACATCATACAGAAAAAAAGGCATGCAATAGAAGCGTAGGTCACAATGGCAAATGGCTGAACAACGCAGCTTCACACCCGTACTAAAAATCACATCCGCAAGTGACCCGTGAAGGCAATAATGGTCTCTTGCTTGCAGGATGGAAAAGGTTACCAGAACGGTTTTCAGTCATGCAAACATACCGAGTGCAGACTTTGTTTTCTTCCCTTAGCAACGGAATGGAAAGAAATTTGATCTTCACACCGAGTTGGCGAGGGGCAGCTCGAGGTTTCTCCAGTGTGTTGCAAAACAGCTTACCAAGATTCTGCTTGCTTCATGGCAACTTTGTTGTCAAAGAGCTCTGTTACACTTCGTAGCGGTATGGTTTGGCCATGCTGACATACTACGTCTTGGGAATGCGACGAAGTCATACAGCATTGGGAATAGGAGCCGAGGCCTAACCGTCCTGATGCCAAGCTGCTTCTCTAAGTGGCGCGATAATCTTCGTAAGGCCTCCCTTGTCATGCAAACCCCGCCGGCGGTGTGTGGGAAAATCCCAACCTGCAACTTCATGCCTCAGTCACTCTTCAGAGCTTCAGCAGACTGTCTGTACACATGATCACATAGGCAATACGCTCTGCTACCGTTTGCATGCTCTTGGGTGCGGGGGGTACACAAAGAATTGGGAGGGTCTCAGCATGACCAATGCTGCCCACGAGACCCAAATGCAGTGCAGCTATATAGTGTGGCTCCTGGCATCTTCACTTACGCACTCTTTCGCACATCTTGGCTGCACGATGGCAAGCCTCGCATCTCCATAGGCCCCAGCGCCAATAAAGCCCTTCGACTCTCACACAGTGGCGTATGCGGGTAGGTTCAGGTGAAAGAGTACCACGCTCAGCGTACAGAGTACTCCACAACTAAGATACCCAAAGGGCAGAGGCGGCATAGGCCCGTCCCCTAAAACCCAAGATAGTCTGACCCTTCAGACCCCTGAACCATCAACCGGAAAGCCAGAGCCTCAGCTCGCAGCACGTTTGCCCGTGCAAAGGCCCGAAGGTTCTCAGCGGAGAAGGCCTGCCGCAAACAGGGCACTCCCGGAGTCTTTCTACATAGGCATGTCAATTTTAAGTGCAGCTGAGCAACACTATCAAGCTCCAACCTTATATTATGCATGAGTGCCATTCACACGTTCATACGTCGTGGACCTCACTCCCCCCACCCCCCCCCCCCCCATCGCATCTGCAGCAGATCACAACCCATCGCCCATCCTCAACGTTTCAAGCCTAGACAAGCCCTATCCCTGTTCTGTCCTACTATGCACAGCACCCTCCTTTCTTCATCTGGGGGGCCAGCAGAACAGATCAGCACGGTCCAAACTGTGTCGAGCCGTGTAGACAGCCATGAGTAAGCTTTTCTGGATGGTATTGCCTGAGTGCGTTCAGCGGCTCTTGCAGAAGCTCTTCCTGCCCTCTCATGTGCAGCCAAAGTCTCCGGACCACAATCCTGTGCTGGCGACTACGCACAGCGGCGCAACAAAAAAAACATTGCCAGCAACATGTACACATGTGCAAGCTGTGAGTTGGCCCTTATGACTCTAAGCAGATGTGGCACAGAGAGCTCGATTCCTTCTTCTGCTTGGTTGCTGTACGGAGCACACTGTCAAGATGCAGATGGGGCCGTGATCCGGACGACACATCACCAGTTTGGGGCACGTTGCTTCTACTTGAAGCAACTTCAGTCTCTGCATCCAAGAGGACTTAGCTTATACAGCGGAAGATCCATCACGAAGTGGCCGAGCATCGCGTGTGAAAAATGTTCGAGCTCGGAGCTTCGGGTGTAGGATTGCCTGTCCGATGCCCAAGGTCGAGGAGTATGGGGCAATGCCTTGTCACATCTATGTGGTGTGTCACAACATAGCTCCCCAAAACCATGTTCCAAAACATGGCGATGTACAAAGGCATGCATTAACGTGGCCATGCCAAATTTTCTACCCAAAACTGTCCCCTCTTCCACTCTCCACACTTTTGTGAGGAGCCCCTCATCACTCAGCATTATATGACCCATACCCTCGATGGGCTTCGTGTGCCTGCATCACTCCACTGCATCTTCATCCAGCTCCTGGAAAGAGTGGATGCCGCTGGATACCAGTCCATTGATGTATTGGGGAAATTTTGGTAGGCTTTGGTCGGCAGACTTGCAGTCTCCCCATGCTGGCCAAGAGTCTTGTCAGCTTGCGCTTCAGGGAAAGCTTGCACCAGGTTCACCTTCGGCTGGGACTTGTTTTTGTGATGCCGAGCACAGCAGGACGCATGTCCTAGCCGCATAAAGCATGCCGTCTTAACGGGGACAGAGGTCGTCACGATTTCAAACTCGCGCCGACCAACGCTGATGCGCCAGGAACTGCGGGTCTCCTGCAGAGTGCTGTAAGCAACACTCGGATTTGATGTCCGTCATGTGGCAGCATGTGACAGCATGTCCACATGGCTGATGGCTGAAGCAGAAACTGGCAGAAAACCGGTGCCTCTTCTCGGCTCGGTGAAGCAAAGAATGTTGTCCAATCACAGTGCCGAGCAAAGGTCTGTGCCATCCCTGGGCGCTTGCTGGATTTTAGCGCAATCAGTATCCATGGGCCTTCCATGCACGCCCTCAATTGTAGCTAGTTGTTGCTCCTCCTCCTCTTCTTCTCAAGTCCTTTCTTCTGCTGAGCAGGTGTCTTTTCTTTCTTGTCAAAGTTGCTGCGGATCGGTGGCGAGTCATTCGGCAGCGCTGCAAGATACCTTTCGGCCCATGAACTACACGAAAGAACCACGATCCCAAAAACAGCAATTCGCCCTGGCCCGCCGGAGGCATCAGCTATTCCCATACTAAGCACTCTGTTTCAGTTTCCAAGGGCACCGTGTACGCATCCCCCCGCCCTGCTTTTTGATCTTTCGGAGGCCTCGAGGCAGAACCGGACCGACAGTTTTCTGCAAAAAGTCTCTTGGTCCGACCTACCAGGTTTTTTGAGCATGGATCGGGCACCCTCTCGACGTCTTTTCTTTGTTTTGCCTAGGGAGGCTGACCTGCCGGTGCCCCTTGAGTTGTGGAGTTTCCGACACTTGCCGGTGTTGAGGCCTGATGGGGCGCTACCAAGTATGAGGGCGGGCGGCACTTGCCCGGCAACTTTCAAGTCGTGGCGCATGCTCTGCGAACAGCAAAGACACCATTAAGTCAACGAATCACAGCATGTGACATAGAATCAAGATAAGCTGCAAGCATGCCACGCGTTGGGCAACACCATCTGGGGCAGCCAGCGCGGCTGCCTTGCCGGCTATGCTGCTGCATGCCCGATCAAATCCGGCGATGTTAATGTTGACCGTCTACTGCGTGTTCTATAGGAGGCCCGAAGGCATGGGCGTGTGCGTGCCCATGTATTTCCTGTCTCCTGCGGCAGGAAGCATGTCGCAACCCCGCCTCATACTTTGCATCCGTGGCGGTTTGATTGCAGGTCAACTCTCCGCCAGTCCAGGACAATGGTTGTGGAAGGAGCTTTCGTCCTGGATTGCTTGGCCAAGCAAGGAGCGAGATCTATGCCAATCTATGCTCTTTGCCAGACCTGAAGCGTAGGCTGCGTGAGCTGCACGGACCTGGTAGGTACCCATTCGTGTAAGTGTGCAAGTCACACTTTTCGCAAAGCCCTGTGTCTCATGCTGCCATCGTGACACCCTACAGGATTCTGGAAAACTCAAGCACGAAAGTCGAACAGAGCAGACAAGTGCCTAGCGGGCCTATCGGGTACCCAGCCTTTGCCAGTAGCCCAGCTGGGCGGAAGCCGCGTGGAGGAGCCACGCAGCTGTCGCAGGCAAAGTCATCGAGCAATTCCCACGGGCATGCTTGCATGACCTGCATTTGATTGCATCTGCCAGCTAGCGCATGGTTGTCATCAAGAGCAGAAACAGATTTGAATTTCAACGGCTCGGATTCAAGAATGACGCGGCGCCACATCTACCTGCAAACTTGATGATTTGTTCAGGTTCCGAAACCATCTTTGCAGGTCCCGAGTCGAAGCCGACTTCAAGGCAAAATACCTTCATTGTAATAGCGTTTGAACACACACAACTGTTTGTAGCATGCCCTTCCGAGGCGCTCTTTAATTTCTGCTGATACAGTGTATACAGTGAACGGGGCTACGTCCTGCTGTCCTGCCGATTCCCGACATGTAATGCGACTGGATGTATTGGAAACGAGCAGCCAATAGCCGTAGTCATAGTTATTCAGGCCCACTAAGGACTACCATAGCCTTCCAGCTCGAAGGGAGAAGAGTGCCCACAGCCTCAAAGAAACATGCTACGGTGCCTAAAAGGCCAAAGCCCTGGGCCACGTAAAATATACTTGTCGTGGTGTCCCCCCTTCCTCTCGTATGTCCCCCCCGTTGTTGCACACACAGGGAGAGATTCGTCGCAAGGAGGAGGGCTTTGGTTTCAAAGCCTGTGTCGCCAAAAGCTGCCCTGGGCCTGTTGCATACCCTTGACTCTTCATTACAGCTGTATCGGTCGAAAGCATGAGAAATACTGCTTGGTATGTTTGACGGGATAATATGACTGTAGCAGCTACACTGTATGGCAGAAGCACAGCCTTCTCATCTGCAAGAAAGATTTTCGGACAGCTCGCATCCCAAGACTTCGAACTGCCGACCCCTCCTGCGTTTCCATTATCAACCTCAGGTACAGGAGCTGTAAACAACAGAGCATGGAGTTCATGAGCAGAGCTTTCACTGTGTTTCAGGCAAGGCTTTTGTTTGCCACCCGTCTCGCAATGCACGACGGGGTTTTAGACTCCGGGCTTGCGCTTACAGGGCCTGTGCGTGCCAGTTGGATCTAGGAGGCTGCTGAATTTTTCCTACCTTCTCAGCTGAACTGGGACACAGTGCAAGGACTGGGCGATGTGTGGAGAGATCGAAAGCAACAACGAGGCTTCGACGAGTTCGAGTTGTTTGGACGAGAAGCCTGGAAATCTTCGATCAGACAGCGCTTCACCCCAGCAAAGGTTTAGGAATCCGACTGTGGCAGCACATGTTACATGGCTTCCACACTTTGCAGAAACTGGCTCCGCCTTGGAGCCCGCGCGGCACAAACTACTGCAATTACTTTCCGATCGCGAAGCCGGCAATGTGAACTTGCAAGCGTATGGCTAACAGCGGCTAACAACCGCCATATGGCCCTTCCGCAGCGTTTTGGCTTGTCGAAGCTTGGGCAAGATGGTCAAAATCGAATTCAGACTACCCCCCCCCCCCCCGCCACGATGCTGTACCTGTTTTCTGGGCAGTGTTAACCAGAGTTCTTTCTTGCTTCTTGCTTTGAAACGACTCCCGGCCGCGGCAGCTTCAGCAGCATTTCCCAGCTGTGCCAGCAGCGATGGAGAGCCCAGGTGCTGTGATGCTGCTGCGGCGGCCGCCCGCACCAGGCTCCGCGAGAGAGCAGCAGGGGCACACCCTTGGAATTGGAAAGGGTCATGTCGGAATTTCCATAGACATCATCAGGAAGGCACCCTTGCAACCCTTTCCATCGACCAGTACGCTGACCTCCCATAGCACCTGCAAATACAATGCCATGTCAGTGCTTCACTTCGTTCCGGAAGATGATTCCGAAGGCACTCCAAGGTGCATAAGGACCGCAAAAAGACTTGAATGAGGTGACAGGCCCCAATTCCACCGAGGTGCTACCTTCGGATGCGTCCACGCTGAAGGAATTGTAGCAGTCTTTCGGGGCATGCTGCCGCACGTGCAATAGCATCCTGCAGGCCAATATTCTGCCAAACAACACCTGCAAGGTAGTGGTGATGTGGGGCTATGGCTCCATGGTCCTCTTCAGCAAGGGATGTGGCAGAGGTATCTGGCTCAGCGCTTGCTGCCGGCGAGGCCCTTGAAACAGCTTGGAACCGATTCAAGGTTCATGATGCAAGCTGCAAAGTGAGGTGTGAAGACTTGACGTGCAGTGGCACAAGTTGCTTGAGCTCTATTTTCCGACAAGATTGTCTCGTGGTATTGTCTTTGAAGAAGCTATAAAGCAAGGTAGAAACGAAGAGTTTCAAGCTGTGTGGGTCAACTGATGTGGCCAGAGACGCTTGCCTGGCTTTTGGAGGTCCTGTGCAAGGCAGCACCAAGCGTCAACCCGACATATCTGTCACGCAAATCATGCAAAACCTGCTGCGCCTTGGCCAAAGCATTGCTCACCTTCAGTGTCCTCTCTAACCTGTCCTAGCTGTGTTCAAAACCATGGCAGGTCCTGGGTCAGCCTTTGTGCCTGCCTGACGCTCAAGGTTCCACCAGGCACCTGATACCTGCGCTGCGCATACATTTCCCTTTGGACTCATTGCATTTGATGTTGCTCGATCCCAGTTCCATTGCTTCTGATGGTTTACAAGTCAACGATGGCAGGTGCGAGAGCTCCGAGGCACAACGTGGATCGAACAAATCGGGAGACTGTCAGTGAGTGAGCCAAAGAAATGGAAAGCGCCGCGGCAAATTCTACTCTCCCATACCGTGATGCTGCGGAATGTGTGCTGCCGAAAGAGAGGTAATTGCGAAAACTCGCAGGATGTCCGCGGAAGCAATATACACTTACGTAGTCAGTCTAGTCTGTCTGGTGGAAGCCATGCAGGATCTAGCATACCCCATTGAATCCTGCAAGCTGACGTGCTGTTACGTGCTGTGTTTACACAGTGAGGCCTCCATTTTTGATGCGCAACCATCAAATGTGAAGATGTGGAGTGCGAGCCTGTCTCCGATGTCCTGGCTGCACACGCAGCGACCTCTGTTGGCCAAGTCCGCAGCCTCCTTTGCTCCGACTAGGATGTGGAGTCATCGGGCTGTCAACTGGACCATGCGTACGACCTACAGCGTATTACAGTGTCCTCTGCCGAGCCGGCTGGCACTGGCAGCTTACCATCTACTAGCTTCCATCGCCTCAGCTGCAGGTCTTTGACATGCAGCGCAATGGACCCTTCCCACAAGTTAAAAAAATCTTCCGCTCAGCGGCATTTCGCTGGGCTGCAGTGCACGAGGGAAGGGCGAGTGCAGACCCATGCGGCGCATTAGGGCCCTGTGTATCACCTGAGATCTCATGATCGTCATGGCCATGCTGGAGACGTCCTTCACAAGCCAGCACAAATCAAAGCCCTCGCCGCCCCAGCCAAGCAGCTAGGCGAAGCAGTGGCCCGTTCCCGAGGCAGCGCCACGGAAGGCAGAGCCAAAGCCGTGCTGAGATGTTTTTTCCCGAGATTGCTTGGCCTGTCGAATCTGCTCATGAGTGCGCTGAACGTGACAACATGTCTGAACATTCTGAACAGGATTTCTCTTGGGGTTCTCGGGCCTGCGTCGCCTACATTGCTGGAAGCTTCTTGCAGGACTCGTTGCAGGTACCTGGGCGGAGCTGCAAGCAATTGGTTGTACAACAGAACGCCGGAAGTAAGCGATAAGCCAGTGTGCACTTCTTTCCGCGGGAGGTGAACTTCCAGCATTGACGTGTCCTTAGCGGAACATGTTCCTTGCGTGTCCGGGCCATGGCTGAGGTGTGACTGTGCAGCAGATGCAGCACCTAGTGCAGCCAACTCAGCCAACTCTGTGGACCGGCAGCGATGTGGAGAGCCCTGCATATTGAACGTACGTAGATGAACTGCAGCACATGAGGCGATGCGTTGAAATGCTTCGATGCTGACAGTTTGCTTGATGGCCTGGGTGGACCATGGGCTGAGCCGGGCGAGAAGCTCGTCGTGCCTTGCTTTGCTTTTGCTTCAAGAAGAGTCGCGCAGGACGCGGCATTCTTCGCGAAGTCGGCTTGCCAGCTGGATTGTTGCGCATGCTCACACAGCCTTGCCAGCATTTGCAAGCACTCAAGCTCGCTGGAGGTGGGAACCACCAGCCTCGGACTGCAAAACTCAAAACCTTTCATGGAAGGGCTTTTGCCACACGTGTCCCAAGCATCTTAATTTATACAATTTCCAACTGTGCAAGTAGTTGTTGAGGGCTCTAGATGGAGCCAGGCAGCAGCAGAAGGAGCAAGCTCGGATGGGTAATTCTGGCTGCCATCTGCCGCGATAACATGGCAATACATGTGCCTAGTGACGTCTTTCTACTGCATTGGCTTAGGGAATGAGGGCCGGGCCTTAACAGGAAGTAGTCAGACTGTCTCCACCCGTTACTGTACTCACCCAACGAGATTCCACAAGATAAGGGCTGGGAAATGACAGGTAATGTGAGCCTTTGAGGCTTTTTCAAGAGGGTTCAGCATGTTCGTCCTCACCACAGCCATTCCCAAAGCATCGGCACAGTTTTGGCTTGACACATGTTTCTCCGTGAATTTCGGAAAAGCTTGAGCGTGCTTGCCGGAGCTGGAACTTCGGCGGCGTTGCAAGATGCAGTGAGTCAATGAGTGCACAAGTGCCTATCCACTGCTATCTGACATTCTCTCGGTCTATTTTTGCTTGTTGAGCGGAAAGCCAAAAAGCTCGTCATGACAGCTGGGCCGCTTCGCGGCAAGCCAGGGTCTAAGGTGGCTGCGGACTTCGGGTGGGTTTTTGCCGCCTTGCACTGCTGTTTCTGGTGTGAATGGACAAACATGGACAAACTGAACCTCAAAGCCCTGGCGCTGGAACAAAGTCAGGGCAACTGACATATTGAATTCCCTCGCCTGCCCGCTTCGCTGAAAGGACGCTGATTTCAGCTGGTGCGAAATGGGCCATGCATCGTCATTGGATGCTACACGTGGCGAGGTGGCAGGAAGCAGGTCAAAGGAGCCACGGTGTTCGCTTGCTTGAGGTGCCTTTTTCTCCAATACACGAAAGAACTACCTCCTGCCAAATGCAATCTGCGATGCCCTTGCAGGAATCGGAACCGATCCGCAAGCGCATTCAAGACAGCAAAAGCTGGATAACAACTCGTGTTCCTCCTCGGGTCCTGCAGCACAGAAACTGGGACGAGCACCGATCAATACACTTTTTCTGTCCTCGAGCTGCGACTACTTCTCGCTCTCCTAACTAAAATCTTGCCCAATTCACTCTCTTCGCTGATTCTTATGTTGGTGGCCGCCAAATTCGAATTTCCCAACAGCATTCAGCGAATCCTTTTGAAGAGAGCCACTCCGGTGAGCGACGCCCCCAAAGACCGTCGATGGCCTCAGGCTCGCGCCATCTAGCAGTGTCGCGCATCATCAACGCAATGAGTGCCGGAATATGAACCGAACAAATTGGGACGTCAATCTAGCAGGCTGAGTCCAGAGACCAAGAAGCAAGATTAAGCTGCAGCTTGCAAACGTTGCCAAGGCGCAAGATTACAGACAAGAATTGCATATATACATATATATATGTATAAACATATATATATATATGTATATATATATATATGTATATATATATGTATATATATGTATATATATGTATATATATGTATATATATGTATATATATGTATATATATATGTATATATATATGTATATATATATATGTATATGCGCTAACCATGCGCTACCCCCCCCCCCCCCCCCCCCCCCTCCAAAACCCACGGTGAGGACTGTGTTGGCGGCGGCGGCGGTGTGTTTTCGCAAAGGCTGCCATGTAAAAAACATGCCATGCATACATGCATACATGCATACATGCATACATACATATATATATATACATATATAAATATATACATATATATATACATATGCTCACGCCCCCCCCCCCCCCCCCCCCGCGCATGATCCACGTTTCTGCTTCGAAACAGATGGATCTTGGGAGGAGAGGGGGCCATGAGCTAGCGATAAAAACACCGACAGGGCCGATAAAAATCTATATTATTTCAAGTCAGGCAGGTCATTTACATCAACAAGGCCGAAAAAATCATATTTTTTTTAGAAAACTCGAGCCGGCTCGAATTTTCCAAAAAAAAACTGACACAGTAGGTCGCCCAAACACGAGCAGGCTCGAATTTTCCAAAAAAACCTAAATTTCAGTATCTATGCCAGCCCGGTAGATCCTGAAAGTTCGTTTTTTTTTTGGAAAATTCGAGTCTGCTCGAGTTTCTGGGACCTAAAGCTTCAAGAATTTTCGAAAATTCGAGCCGGCTCGAATTTTTCAAAAAAAACTGACACAGTAGGTCGCCCAAACACGAGCAGTCTCGAATTTTCCAAAAAAACCTAAATTTCAGGATCTATGGCTCCAGCAGCCCGATAGATCTTGAAAGTTAGTTTTTTTTGAAAATTCGAGCCTGCTCGAGTTTTCGAGGCGTGGTGCTTCAAGAATTTTCGGAAATTCGAGCCGGCTCGAATTTTCTAAAAAAAATGCTGAAACCATGGCTGTGTGACCCCAAGGCCTCATAGATGACATAATTTAGGGATTTTTTTTTGAAAATTCGAGCCTGCTCGAGTTTTCGAGACCTGGAGCTTCAAGAATTTTCGCAAAATTCGAGCCGGCTCGAATTTTCAAAAAAATGCTGAAACCATGGCTGTGTGACCCCAAGGCCTCATAGATGACAGAATGTAGGTTTTTTTGAAAAATTCGAGCCTGCTCGAGTTTTAGTGACCTGGTGCCTCGAGAATTTCCGGAAAATTCGAGCCGGCTCGAGTTTTCCCTATATCTCTTGAAATTCTGACTGCGGTAATTGATACAATTAGTAGCATTAGTTATTAATTCTAATTCAATTGTTAAGTGTCCCATATATGTTAACGGCAAATATCTAACTTGTGAGAAGAGGCCACGCAATGGTTTAAATCCAACAGCCGTTTTGTTCTTAAACCCTTGACAATGAACATAATAACTACCTTTGTGTAATTTAAAATTTAAACTATCAATGAGGATATCTTCGGGATTAAAAGTTTCCATTATATATAAATAGCATAGATAATTCAATTACATATACATACCTTCAACTTGTATTCAATCAAGTAATTCAAAACTATATGAATTGTCTTTACCATTGTTCTTCTTCCTACCGTTCTTAACTGCTTTATCTACATCATTATTCTCAGCTAACTTTCTTATCTCTTCGTAAGCATGTTGTTTAAATTGCTTCTCTATCTTCGATGTCTCTATTTGTTCGTATGTTGTTGCTTTCTTATGAAACGCTATGAATATTATGTCGATTATTGCATCAAACTGTTGTTAAAAACTCTTCTTCGGTTATAGGTAGACGTCCTGCTGTGTTTTTATCATTGCCTATATCGTCATAAGGATGATTTTGTAGAGGGTCTAATGTTGATTTCTTTGATGTTATGCTTCCTTAATCAAACATACCAACAGGGTCTCCTGCTTTCCGTATTCTTAAATTTGTCCCAGTGTCTTCTGGTCGCTGTCCTGATACAAACGGAGAACCATATCTACGACTTCTGAATACATTAACATAATCATTGTTTACTTGTTGTCCCGATGCTGAACCTGAACTATGACTTATGATACCAGAAATTCCAGTTTTTTCTTTTCTTTAACCGTCTATTTCAATAAAACCATCTTATATGAACTAACCTACATCTTTATAACGCTGAGTCTGTTGCGTCTTGTACAAAGGAAGTTTTCATTCATCATAAACATCTCTACCGCTTTTAGTCCCAGCAATGTATAAAATAGAACCATTTTTGATATATCCCATCAGGATTCTCATACGCTAATTCAAGTCCTTGCGTGTCCGTTGAGAATGTCTCTGTCTTTGCGAATTCGTCTCTAACTTCATTATGTAGTCTGCTTCTTGTGTTAGGTGCTTATTTGAAAACCCTTCATCTCTTCGTTTATGTTTATGCATTATGGTTTATAAATTATTTTTTATCTAATCAATGAATATTGTTGAATTTCAAGAAGGTGTATATTGAAAGCCATTATAGAGTGAATAACAGAGATTAGCAAACCACACAAAACCAAATCCAGAAACGGATTCTGTTTGTAGATTTCTGTTGTTTAAAAGTGTAGATAATCAATAGCAAGTTGTAGCTTCAGACATGGCAAGACACGAAAGTATCGTAAATACCGGTGTTTTTCACTTCAACAATATGTGTAAGTAAGCACAGGCGCAGAAGGACAAGCAAGAAAAGGATACATATGGATCATGGGGGGGGGGGGTGTGACCATATATATATATATACATATTTAGGACGTGCCTGGTAACCCGCCCCCCCCTGCGGTGTGGTGTGGTCCCCGGGGCCTGGGCCGGCGACTCGCAAGGTCCCTTACATGACTATGTGTTTGGTACCAACCCACCCTCCTAGAATCCCTTTTCATTTGATTTATACAAATATAAACAAAAAACATATAAATACACACACACACACACATATATATATATATACATTTTTTACTTGACTTGGCAATATGTACACGCGTGCTTTCAAAAGCTGATTCAGGACAAAGTGGCTGACTCCAGAAAATACATAGGCACAGATTTTGATGGCAGAAATGATACCATGATTTTCCCGATTTTGGGGTCCCAAGGGCCTTGATGAGGGCTGGTGCCAGTTTTTCAAGGACTCCAACGACAACACGGATGCCACGCTCATCACATCAAGAACACTGGGTCGAAACGCTTACTGCATACCGGAAGTAAGTGACTTAATTGACCGCTACATGCACATGCATGCCTGTAAGAGCGCAAGCCTGCGCACTGTTGCTGGCGGTTATGCTGCTTGGCATTGTCATCCATGTCCCTGGTTCTTTGCACCACTTCTTTGTCTGATGTTGTCCACGCTTTCTGCAATCAAGCGGTGTTTGTCCACCACAGCTGCTTGGACAGTGGCCGTGACCTCATCTATCTTCGTCTGGATGTTGAACCAGAGTCGTTGGGGACTGCTCCACAATGGTCGTGACGGATGAGGCACTGGGGAAGTGGAGTTTATCCACATGTTGCTTGAGCTCTTCGATTAGGTTTCCTCCAAAGTATCTTGGAGGCCCCTGGTTTGCTGCGTGCGCGAATTTTGCGATTCCATGCAGCTATTGCTGGTTTCCTTCCAGAGGTCTGTTACCAGGCTTGTCAGGCTCTTGAGGTGTCCCGAGACCCTTTAAGGCCTAGATGTGAAATATGAAGCCCCAAATCATCCCCGAGACCCTGTCTTTGCATCCATCTGGTGATGGGTTGTCACTCCGCACCCCTGCCGTAAAAGGGTGAGACTTGCTGCGCGTCTCTGCGTGCAGCTGTGAGGCGAGTGCGTTGAGCTGCGTCGTGTTGTGAGTGTGTTTGCATTAACGTGGTGTTTCCTGCCCATGCCTGCTTGTGCCTGCTCGCATCCTGCCGTTCAGGCACGATCAGCCGCGCGAGGTCTTTTACCTTTTGCATCTGGCCTGCTGTGACTCTGCCAGGTGACCAATACTGACTACTCAACGCCTTAAGCGAGGAGGCGACTCGTGCAAAGATCTAAAACCCTGAACCCTAAAACCTTCAGATCCTCTTGCCTATGTCGTCCAAGACCAGATCACGGTGCTGGCTCTGAGTGACTGCAAGAATGTTCCTTGGACCCATCGGATCGACCTGGTATCTTGGTTGCATCGCACATCATCCAGCTGGTGCAATGTGACGAACGGCTGGTTGCGCGCTGGGCAGGGGCGGGGGGAAACCACATAGCGCACCAACCATATATATATATATATACATACATGCTTCTTGTTCTCATCATGATTATACTATTAGTGATATTGCGATAATGAATTCTTAGTATTGTTTGTACGCAGTGCTTTGAGGGTTCATCTCTGAGGAGTTGGCTTTAGTCATCACCTTCGTCCACGGACCTTGAGGCGGTAGAGCCTTAGGTGCACGTAGCAACTTGGATAACATGCCATATCGTGTGAAACATGTAACATCGACGAGCCGCCACCCATGCTGCTCGATGCCCTGCCACCTGAAGCAGTCGGCTGGCAACTTCGACGGCAAACAGGAAACCCCAACCTAAACTCTCCAAATGCGATATATACATATATATGTGTATGTATAGATAGTTTCAGCTTCATCTATTTAAGATCCTATCTATTCTGCCAGCGCAGAAGCCAACCAGTGAAAGACCATGCGGAAATCCCCCAGACATACACCAATAGCACTATATAGCACTCCAAGCGCTCCAGACAACATTCCATTGGTACGACAAAAGTCGACTTTGCGGACGTACTCGGTGTACTACGTTGTACCACAAAAGTCGGCTTTCGAGCCACCAGAGCCCCGGATGTCCTCCAAACACCAAAGCGACCACAGCTTTTTGGCATTTCGCTAAGCCAGATGTCGAGAAGCGACGACAGTTTCGCATTCGTTCAAAAGCCGGCAAGGCAGGGGCGCGATTTCCAACATCGCTATTTGCACATCCCATTGGTCTGGCCGCACGCAGAAGCAAGAATCCACCGCCTGCCACTGCCACTTTTTCAGGAAGCGCAGTGATGCAAGCCGCAAGAAGTGCAAGGGACCCAGGCGGAGAGCACGATTTCCACTTTCAAACGCCACAAATGCGCACGGGGCCTCGGCGAGATCCCGATTCGACACCATCCACAAAAGCACGTAATTGGCGATGTTCCAAGGCCCCGAGATTTCGTGTCAGCACCCGTGCGGAAAAAGGACCACCGCTCGAGGAATATCGTCCGCGCGCCGCGTGCGTTTCGGGCGTGCCGCGCGGGCACACCAATCTAACCCCCTTCTACTCTGAACAGCAGAGTCAGAGCCCCTAGTATGTGCTTTTCCAACTAGGAGACATTGAAGCAAAGTCCCCAAAAAAACCAAGAAGCTGCTCCCATAGCCGATGCTAGACTTCTGCTCTCCAAGACACCCCTTTGCCGCGTCTTCCCTTGGGACTTGACCTTCGACAAAATGTGTGGGGCGACAAATTCAAATGCGGAACAGAAGCTACATACCGCATACGGTTACATACCGGAAGAATGCAAGTTAGGCTTTTTTTTAAGGGGTTTTAGGGCACACAGGCAGCCACAAACAACCAACCATTGAACATGGTGCATAACATCCTTGGAGACCATGTGGTAATTAGTTTCGCATCGGGCCAAGGTGCGATTTTGGACAGCGTCCTTTCCTGATGTGGGGCCATCCACACATAGGGAAGGTTCATAGGGTGTTCCTCCTAATGCCACGCTCCAGTCAGACAGGCTGCAAATTTCTAGGCATGAAGCAGCTGACAGATCAAGTGCTGATGTTCTTTATACAAAGCAGAAAATGAGCCAACTGCGAGCTCGAGCCGCCAATTTGGCCATCCGGTCATCCTCCTCCTGCGTGGCAGCCAAATTGCACCAAGGCTCTCACATCGCATCTCTGCCCTGTGTTTTCTGCACAGCCTTGAGAGGCTTCTGTATGCTTCTGAAGAAGAAGGAACAACAACGGAGGAGCAGGGTCATGCGCAGTCCTCTGCCACTTCCCGGGGCCATGGTGCATCAGAGGCTGTGGAGCCTCCGTAGCGCTTGATGGTGTCCTGGTTGCTCAATAGGTCGGAAGCTTGAGTTCGAGGGGACACGTCAGGACTAAGGCTGCGCAGGGCAATTCTCAAGTGGGCGGCTTTTTGGCTGCTTTCTCTGACTTAGTGGGCCCTGATCTTCAGAGGCCTGCATAGACCTCGTTTCATTGTGGCTTGTTTTCGGATGTTTTCCGATCCCTCGCTCCTCGAAGACAGGATGGACACTTGCTGATTCTAGGACTTGGATGCCCCCCGCCAGGCCAACCTTGCGCAGGTTTGTGTGCAACATGGGCATGACTGCTGAGGATGATGGTGTACGTGGCTCATCGTGGCTCGGCTGAGATTGTTTACCGGCCAAACAACTTCACATGCAAACAGCCGAATGGGCGTTCACTTGGCAACGAAGCGTTTATCATGAACAAGAGCATGGTATAGCGGGGGCCCACCCACATCGGCCGAGCGACATCTCCTTCGTTGAATTCCAAGGGTTTGTCCTTCGTTGCTCACTCAAAAGGGGCAACAAGGACATGGGAACTGAAAGGCCGCCCAAACCCTAAACCCGGGGCTGAGTAGCGAAACCGTCTTAATGCCCAGAGCCAGCAGCCCTGCGACCAAGGCGCCATCCCCAAGGCGGTCAGAAAGGCTGACCAACGCTTCCTAAGTTTCCAACCGCGCAATCTCCAAGGCCTTGCTCACAGGCTTTGTGAGTCTTGCGCCTCTGAGTATAGCGAAGTCAGCGACCCAGTTCCGTTTCTTCCCATGCTTCAAGCCTGGGAAAGCAAAGTCCTCCATAGCTGCCCAAGTTGCCGCGAAAGGGAGTGCAACGTATTCGAAGTGATTGCTGCACGGTTCAGGCGTGCGTAGCCCTGAGCAGCATGGCCACAAGCGCAACTGCTACAGTGCAGTAACGGCCTGAGCTGAGCTGTATAGTTATAGCTTGCACGGTGACTCCCTTACAGTTGTAAACTCCACCAGATGGATGTTTCTTTTTGACGTCCAAGACTTCCATGCGCCTGCATGTTCGAGAAGGCGTCGTGATAGGATTGTGTCAGCTGTGCAATGAGCAGGTTCCTGACACAAAGCATGCCACGTGCACGCCACGTCATTCTATGCAACCTCAAGAAGGCAACTACGGCAACGTAAATGAATCCCAGGGCTGGGCGGCAAGAGGTGGGTCAACTCAAGGCATCGAACCCTTGCACGTGCAGTCTGCCATCATCCTGAAAAATTCTGTTCAAGGCTCATCAGTAAGATGGACACTACGAACACAAATGTCACAACAGGCACGAAGACGACCACGGAGCTTGCCGCAATCTCAAGATATTTCTCCTGGCGAACATGTGGGATGATCTTGCGCGCGGCAGTTCCCCTTTTGGAGCCAGCAAGCTCCCAGATGTTAGCTGCACTGTCTATTGGCCTGCAGTTTTTCCCAGTCCTCCGGAAAGATCTCCAAGGCCATCTGCAAGAGCACGTCACCCCACAAGTGAGCCCCCTCGATTGATGGATACTCAAAGTACAGGGCGCTGATCGACGTGGCGAACCTGGAGTCCATGACCCTCCGCGAAAGGGCCATCAATGGACACTATCCTGCACTTTTAGGGTTTTGGATTGAGGGAAGTACCTGCGTTGACGTTGGAACAGATGTGTGCAAAATTGTGCAAACAAGGTGCGCAAGAACGAGGGCGAAAATAGCGCAGAGAAAGAGCGCCACTTCGCCAAGCATGCGGCCACAAACCAGAACCTCAGACCGGCCACTCTCGGAGTCTTGGGAGACCTCTGGGTGCCTCGAAACCGAATCTGAAGTCGGGGAGTTTCCTTGGAGACTTCGAAGACTTTCATGCGAATATGGTCCTACAGTCCAGTCCTGACTGCAAGTAGCATAGGCAGATATCCGCATGGAGAAGATGGCAAGGTCCAAAAGCAGCGCCCAGTAGATCATCATTGCAAGGAAGGTGGTGATGGAGTAGGAGACTATGGTGTCCTCTGCTGCTCATGGGCATGATGTTGTTGCAGGCCTTCTTGCTGTGACACCGTGCAGCAGACTTTCAGTACTTGAGCTTCCTCGGCACCCTGGCACGTCGGGGTCAGGGGAAAGCCATCCGGTCCAGTCTGGCTGAAGATTAAGCAGAGGAAGAAGGGCTCCTGACGATCATCATCCGTTTGGGATGCCGCGGTTGGAATGGGTTCTGGTATTTGGCGTTGCCCATGTTGGGGATACATCTTAGACTTCCGCGGAGGCCAAATCTGTAACCACGCAGACCTCTCAGCCTCAAACGTTGAAGCCTGAAGCCCAAATAGCCGTCAACCCAGAAACCCAAGTCCCTAAACCCAATCTCTCAACAATCGGTGTATGTGAACTCGCGGGGTGTGTGGAGAGCAGAGATGAACTCAACCAGGGTCTTCCGAACCCAACCGAGACGAGACGTCGTCTCCCGCGGACTTTCGCAGAACTTACGCGAACCTGCGTGAAACTCGGGGGGTGCAGCTTCTCAATTGGGCACACGCTAAGCTCAGCTCGAACCCCTTGATGTTACTGTTCGAACATGCGAAGCGTTGAGCAACAACAAAACTTGCATCCTTAGAATTCATGAAATCGAAGTCCTCTCGGGCAACACAATCGCGAACAATTCCAAGCTTTAAGCTTCCGAGTGCCTGCTTTATAGAATGTATTCCCCAGCAGGGACCTTGAGTGTCAACGCGCAGCTATGCAGTTCATGTTCCTTTCGAACTGCTCTGCGGAACTGCCGATTCTACCGTAGAAGCCGTCGTCTACTGAATGCAGTCCTGCGCACAGCTGATGATGAGAAGCCACATCAAAATGAAGTTGGCAAATTCTTGGGTGCTGAAAAGGTAGGCCGGAATCCTTGGTCAACATCATTCAACATCCAAAGGCTGGGTTGGGTAGGGTCTGGGTTGCTCACAGTGATGACGGGGCCAAGTGCAGTTGACAGAAAACACTGTTGCCTGGTTGGGCCATGGCTCGGAATGCAGCCTGACTTGTCGAGGTTGCCGTTTGTACAGTCGGAGCAGGTCTTGCGCATCGTGCCTGGGAATAAGGCGCAGCTAGGTCAACAATGGGTAGCAGTGGGGAAACATGCGCAGCCGCCTCAAAGAAGTCGGGAATGACACAAACAAAGGGTACAAGCAGGCCACACGTGCCAACAAACGCCCGGCACCTTTTCAAGGACCACTGACCAATCGTGTTTCGACATCTAGCCGAAGTGCCAAATATCAGCTTGCACATCATGCCGAGGTAGTTCAGGATACGCAGTGTGAAAATGACGACGAGCCTTGGTCTCACTGGAAATCTCATCATGCTCGAAACTGTGCTCTTGTGAATGTCACATGCCCTTGGGTACTCACTCGGCCTTAGTCGCTAGTCCTTCTTGTCTACGTGCTGGAGTATGACACACGGGGACCATTGTTTCATTGTGAGGCTGTCAGGCATGAACACGTGTGATGAGTCTGTCCGACCAGCGGAGCGGCTCCTCTCGGCTTTGCGCCTCGCCTGTGTGATTGGGGAGAATCGCTTGGCTTGTGACGAAGATCAGCAGCATCAGCAGGAAGTACCTATGCAATCAGTCCCCTTCTCAAATTGCAGCCGGCAGGCCTTCCCCAAGCCCACCACGCCCCACCTTTTACAAACCCTCGTTGCGGCCTGTCGCCATCCATCTCACAAACTGATGCAGAACTGAACATTGCTCAAAGCTGTAAAGCGACTCTTGCATACTGTTGCGGGCTATGCCGCAGAAGGATCCCTTCTGTTACAACACAGCCACCCAGCATCCTTTTGCAAGCCAACCCTGTCGACCTATGGCCATATGATCGGTGCCTGAATGAGTCACTATGCATGATGCACTTCCTCGGCCCCAATGCGCCAGAGCACAACTTGGACACGACGAACTTGTAGCTGGCCAGTCTGTACCAAAGCAAGTCTGCGAACCTTGGGCTAGACTAGGTTGGTATATTGGAAGCTCTTGGAGGGTACATGCCACGGAACACGAGCCATCCAGCATACTATGGAGCCCTTCCACCAGGCGACATGACCACAGTGGGGTGACGAATGATCTTCGGATCCCCATGCGCCACCAACCACTCTAAGTTCATGCTATAGTTGCCTTCCAGGTCCTGGCCGCAGGGTTGAGAAAACGGGAAGCCCAAGATCTAGACAGGCGACACCACTCAACACAATGTCCGGCTGCCTTAATCCCCAGTACATCTAACCAAGAACCCATTCAAAGATGGACACGTCGTTGCGGTGTGCAGACAACAATTCCTTCATCGTGTACCTAGTCCTAACCCTGTCTAGAGCGCCCATCCTGGATCAAGTGCTTCACGTAGTAGTTCACCCGTCGCAAGCCTGGCCACGTTCGAGAACGAACTCTGAAGTGTGTCACTCCTCCTGCTAGTGCACGTGGCAAAAGAGTGTGATTGCTTCGGGCGTGTGCGCCGTTCAGCCAGCGCGTGCCCGCACGTGCGCGCCAGCGTGCATGTTACGAGCATTTACGATGCCAAGTGGCAGGCAAGCATCTTCAAGCACGTGTGCGTGAAAGGAAACAGGCAATTGCCTGCAAGCCGGGTGTGTGTAGTACATGCATGCAGGCTTAAGCGCGCGTGCACTGGCAGCCACATGCAAACCGGTTCGCCCATGAATCGGTACATAGTCGTCGTGAGTCGTCGTTGTCGATATCCCACCTCCTAAAAGCTCTGAAGCCTTCAGGTCTTCCTAGCCCCGTACTCTGTCCGTAACTCCCAAAGACCCTATAAACCTAATGAGGGCAAGCAGGGCAGCATGCAGTGAGGCGGAAGGAGCGGGGGGGCACAATTGAGGGAAGGACCCCAGGAATGCGCTCCAAGCTCGAAACTTTTCCAACTTTCCATGCCACAGCTTACCTATGTCCGCCGATAGCCGACTCCAAACTGCAGCCGGCCCCTTATTGCCGACTCTGGGCAGATCTTGGCAGAATCAATGCAGATCAATTCTGACTCTGTCTCAACCCGCTTCAAGCCTTCCTTCGTCTGACGAGACCGCCACACTAAGCCATCGAGTAGCCTTGGAGACATTGGGTGCTCAAGCGGGTGGAATCTCAAGCAGGAGGGTTTGCAACGAGGTATTGCAGCCAGGAATTGAAGCCCAGCCACGTTGGCATCAGTGTCGGAGCTGTCGCACACAAGCGCTGGATCACTTCCGGGTGGCGAGTGAAGAGCGTCTCACAGCCATAGTAATAAACGTCACCTCAAGCCATAACTATAGGATTGAAAACGGAAGTGAGCACAAGCCTTCACCAGAAGGTTCTGAGGGGTCAGACGGGCCTGCTCCTATCGACGCGCCGATGCAACAGTGGCCGTGCTGCAACGCGGGTGTTAATGATGTGAGAATATGGTCGGTATCCTGCACGTCTCAGAACCCGACGGTCCGCCCTGATCGTCAGCAAGTCTTCCAGCATGGCAACTGCACACACGGTCGCTCCTTGCAGACTCCACAGGGAAGCGGTTGACAGATCAGATCTTCTAAACAAGTAAGGCTAATGCTCTACGCATTCCAATGCGTCACATGCGTCAGATTTGACTTGGGTGCGTCAGATTCGACTTGGGGGCCAAGTCGGGCGGCGAAAGATGGCGAAAGCTAGCCCTGGGTATCACACGTTCTCCAGCCAAGACCCGATTGAAATATGCATGGTGCACCCCAACAGCGCGCACCAAACCTCACCACTGCCCCCACGCTCCTCCTGTCCATGCCCACTACCCACCGCACGTCCAGCGGCCCCCCCCCCTGCCCGCAGACCCGCCATACTTGCCACCCAGCACAACCATCAAAACAGCCCCACCCTTCACGCCGGCGCCGAAATCCCATACGACCTCCTCCAAAGGCAGCGTCGCCAACATCATCAGCATCAACAGCACCATCGCCCCCGATAGCTGCTTACGTAACTCTTCCGGAAACATGGGCCCTGGAGTCTTCTCAGAACATTCCAAGCTGTCAAGGCTGCGCCAAGGCTCCACTGTCGATGGCCCAATAGAACGGCGAGATGGACTGTGTACCCACAGCAATGCTTAGCAGCTCACTGGCGCGATGACCTGGGTGTGTGATTGCTGCGGGGCATCCGTCAAAAGCCCCCATATCAGGTGGCCTATGGCGCAAAGCAATGCCCTACGACTCTTCTAGCTGCGTCGTATGCTTTCAATTTGGCAATGCTTGATTTGAAGCGCGAAGGCCAGGGGCATCAAGGGCATGCAAGTAGTAAAGGGATGAATACCAGCATCGGACGTTGGCAAAGAATGGCTCGGATTAGGGCACCCTCGCTCCACACATTCCACAAAACTGCTCTTCGATGGCCACTGCATATTCTCAGCATCCTTTCCCTCGAAGCTTGTGGCCTCCCCGTCCCAACAATGCACCCTCCAAGCAATCCAAGAGGCCTCTCGAAACTACTTCCATGGCCTGCAAAGCGTTCTACGCTGCGACATCATTCAGCATCTTGACACCATGAAAGTGCAAAAGCTGCGCGGGGACTAGCATGGATCGACACCAGCACCACAGACAAGTTCTCTGGAAAGTCACTCAGCCCAACTGAACTCTCAAGCATCAGCGTCACGAACCTTGTTGAGCATGAGTCTTTGATTAGTGTTGATGGCCTTCATCACCTGTGCTGCTGTTGCGGACGTGCTCTGGTGACATCCGCAAGAAGAATAATTGATGTTCGGAGTTCGGGCTCGTGTTTTGCAGACCAAACCTCCACTGCTGCTTCTGAGGGCATGCGACGCCACTGCAGCAAGGTTGCCAGGGTGGAGCCCTCTGAGATGGCTCGGACCTGTCACTTCTGCTCTGTTCTGTTCCTTCTTGCTTTGAGGATTCGAGGTATTCGGATGATGCTTCTCGTAGTCTTTAACTCCGATCGGGCACAATTTGGGAAGAATACCAAAGTTGACATGCAAGATCAGGGCCCAAGCAGCGCAGATACGGGTCCATCATAAATGTAGCAGCAGGAGGCCTTCAAAACCAGAACAAGCACCTGGAATGCGCCCTTTCGATGCGCCAGCAAAAGTCAAACATGTGGTTGTTTTCAGCGTCATCTCCCAAGCTTGGGCTTCACATTTGTCGGGGCAAGAGAAACAAGCAAACACGCTTGCAAACCACCAAGCGTGTGATTGTTGCAAAAGAAAAACAAAAACAAAGACCTGCTGGCTCCCCCCTCCGAAGCAGGCCCTTCTCCAAGAGACTTCGCCCGCCCTGAGGCCCGAAGCCCTGAACCCATCCTAGCAGCTCCAGCCCAGCCATTATGCCGACATCTAACTGAGGCAAGCCTGTTTGGCCATATAACTAGGCAGTGGGATGGCAATGGATCAATGATGATCAATGGATGGCAAAGGCACCAGGATCTTGGAGATCAAGGCCAGGGACCAGCGGAAGGCCTCGATCGCCAGCCTTAGAGTCACAAAGATTTTCAGCGGGGACAAGAAGGAGAAGCTCTGCTGTGCTTTCAGCTAAGTCTTACAGGAAGTCTGATCAATCTACTGATCACCCATGTCACGCCGGTACTGCCAGCGGCCAAGAGCAGTCACAGCAGGCACGTGCAATCCATCCACACGTCAACATCAACACCAAAGCAGTCAGACCACTCGTTGGTCGCCAGCTCTTGTAGCAGTGCTACGGCTGCTGAAACAAAAGGAGGGAACCTTGGTTGACAAGTGCAGAAGCACTCCGACCCTCTCAGCCACGACCAGGCATATCATGCCCCAGCGACTTCGCGAAGAAAACTGCATAGTGATCGACCACAGCACCGGGATACGTTTGCAAGCTTCATGGTCCGAAACAGACTCCATCTTTCACCGAGGGGCATCTCCACTGGAATGGCATACCCGACGTGTCGCAAACCAATTGCAGATATCTCCTCTACCATCTTCCGCGGAGCGGCATACATGTCCAACGTCATTGAAATGATTCCTCGCTGGGCCGTGATTGGCAAGGGTGAAGTGGGTGGCTGAAATGGTGCTCATCTAGATTTGGCAAATGCCCGACCGCCTTCCCCAACGCTGATGGTTCCAGCTGAGTCTAGTTTTCGTGACCCGTAAGACGCCCAGTCTATCATCTTGCATGCTGAACTCATTAGTTGCTGTGTCGACTTGGGCCCACTTGCTCCAATACTTCGGTTGCCCAGAGTCGACCAGAAATGAAGTGCATTCTCGTCGCGGACTGTTGAAAGAAGTCCTGCAGCAACGTGGCGCGAGCGGCTAAACAAACTTCGTGATTTTTAAGTGGCCCAGTTTTCGAACTATGCCTGCTGAGGACTGTGAATCGACTCGCATGTGATGTGCCAGTTTGATTCTGACGCTGATCCCCTGACATCTAGGCCTAGAGGTGTCCTGACCGGCAGGCGCCAGCTCAAAGAACACTGGAAACAGCCGCTGGGTCAGCCGTTGCGAATCCTGGCAGGTGGCTGGCTGCGGTATGCTGCGGTATGCTGCTGTCTTTCATATCAAAACCATCAAAACTGCCTCGCTTTGTGCCCGGAACCTGACTCCCATTGGCAAACTCGGAGCATCCATGCCTTCTCCTCCATGTATCTGAAGAAGTTTGACAACGCGTGCTCTTGCTGCCGTGGCTTGCCTGCAGCTAGCACACGATCCGGATCCGCAGTGTCCTTGCATTTACGAGCAGTGTGACGCGTGCCTATCATGGCGCTCAGGAGGCCCTCGATATTCTCCCAGAGCCAGCTCCATGCGATTTCGTGGTTGGAGTCCCAGTCCTTTCGGGCAGCGGCATGGGAAGCAAGCCTTATTCAGCACAAGTCATGCATACACAGTCTTGCTCTGGCCAGCAGCTCCTCCGGAAGTAAGGACCGAAGCGAAGCCAGCGTCACAGACTTAAAGTCAGGCAAGTTGATGGGGCCTTTGTATTTGGCCAGAACCAGTGAAACCACATCGCACTCCTCCTGTGCAGATGCAGGGGATTGCACTTATAGACTTAGAGGTGCCCCTGGAAGCTCGTAGACAGGCATTTCAAAGAGCACATGCCGCATCCTGAAGGCGGGAGGAGTTGGCAACATTCAGCACCATGTTTTCAAATTGGGCCAAGATGATGTTCATCCACCTGGCGTTTCAAGCGAAGATAGGGAAGGGTGTTACCCGCCGAGGACCCCGCAGGCCTCTGATTGTTCAAGGTTGTGAATGTGTGGCTACCAGGCTACCATCACGAATCCCTCCCATTCCGACTCCTCCTCCCCAAATTTGCAGGGTCCACGTGCTAGAGCCGAAGCCCATCACGGATGCATTGAAGAGAAGCATCTCATTGAACGTGGTGGGCACCTTCATCCTTGTGCATGGGTTGGGAAGATCTACGCAAGACACCGCACGCAGCTCAGGGACCTACAGCCCTAAGCGTTTGAACTTTGAGCTGAGTGCAGGGTAGTCTCTGATCACCAGCTGCCTCGCCCGAGCTGCGAGCTCCAGAGAGGTTCGCTGGGCCCTGGCGTGGAGGCTGCGTGGCTCTCGTGCTCTTTTGAGGAATGCAAGATGTCGGGATACTCCTCACTACTAAGCCTGCTAGGCTTGCTGCTGCCTCGAACATTCCACATTCAAACTGCTGTAGGCCTTCGCAGTCTTCGCGTGATTGTCTTGCTTTGTGTCGTTTGCGTTGGTCTCCTTCTCCTTGTCGGCCTCCTCCACACCTTCCTCACCCTCCTTGCAGAAGCAATCAAGAGGGAAGGACGCAGGGAGAATACAAGACACTGAGCAGTTGGACCGGACGCAGCAAGTCCAAGATCTTCTCTGTTTCATATTGCGAGGGAGAGATCCCTGCATCTTTACGAGGTGATAATGCAAAACTGAAGAGCTCTGCGCTATTCTCTGCTATCCCGCAACTCTCACTAGCCGAGTCCTCTTCTGCAAGCAGGGCCTGCGCGAGTGCGGCAAGCTTCTCAACGCTGAGAGTTCAATGTGCTGCTGCCAGGAAATCAATCTTGAACATTGACATCAACAAACTGATGCGAGCTGTGCATCTGCACAAAATCACCTAAAACAAAAACAAAAAAACCTTAGCAAACTGTGCCTCTGCTTCGTTGGAATTGCTTCCTTTGGATGCGATTGCCCAACTACGAAGGATCCTCGGAGCTTCGATATGCCAACCTACGGCACTTTCTGGCATACAGACGTACATGAACAAGAGCAGAAACAAGTACTTGTGAATGAACATGGCGGAGTAATCGCTTTTGTCGACGACAGCATGAGCATGCTCACCACACTTGCGGAATGTAAATCTCAAAGATCTCAAGAGCTAAGCATCCTCCCGAAATGCTCCGCCCTAAACCCTCCGAAGGGCAAAGCGCCTGTGACATGCGACTTGAAGCGTCCAATGGGCCGCTGTGCTAGTCAAGTCTCACGCTGATGCGCCCGGCGTACTCGCGGCGGATATAGATGAATGCTCCCCCTGCATCAGCTAGCAAAGGCCAATCTGATTTCACATGGCCGTGCGAGGCAAGCGACTTGGCCTGTACGTGCCAACAAGAATCATGGCTCAAGCGGCAAACCCGATCTTGCCTGCATAATTGATAAGCGCCTGAAAGCCGGCACGGACACCGCTGGTGAGGTGCCCGGTGTCCAGCGTCTCCTCTGAAGAACTCTTAGATGTCATGTTTGGCAGAGGGGTCGAAGCTGCGTCCTCCAAAAGGTCGAGGAGAGCCTCGCGAAAGAAGTCGACTCGCACGCCTAGGCCCACACTGGCCAGCTGGGCACATTCCGCTGGAACTCACCTCTCCCAAATCACACCGTTTCAACACTTCCTTCACCGAGCTACAGCCTAGAACTAGGCCAACGTCGATATTGCAGTTGCTTTGTGCGCACAATCGCTTGGACGATCGAACCGCCTGGTTGCAACACCAACGCTGCGCGGCTGCGATCCCCCGCATGTCAAAACAGCATAAGCTTTTTACCAAATCCAAAGGCAAAACGGCAAGGAGCTTGTGACTTCGATCTCCAAGTGCCGAAATCCCAGAGATTCCTGAGTGAGGCCACGTAACCTGATGACTGTTTCGCTCATGTTTCGTGAATGCCTCGACAATTAGGAGAGCCAGAAGTCTACCTGCGAAACAGTATAACTGCAGCTGGGGGCATCATGATATGTCATGATGCTACATGCAGCCCGGCTTCGATCTCCTTTTTAAGCAAGACCTTCTGCGAGGCGCAAGCTATGCAGCTGGACACCCCGCGCATGAACCGCATGGCCTCAGCGGAAGGTCGGACCCTAGTCATGCTTGAGACTGGAGCAATGGCCTGGATTCTCTAGATTTGCAACAGCACGGTGGCAGCACTACTTAAGAGAACCTTGGAGGAAGAAGATGAGACTCTGTGGACCCCTCGCCAAAAAAAGTCATTTTTCAGTCTTCACAGTTCTGACAGCAGCCGCAGGCCAAGGAAAATGAGAGGATCTGGCTTTGTTCTAGCTTGGCGACGGAACCAACGATGCCATAGTCAGGCTTCAAACTTACAATTGCTCGGAAGGTTCTGGAGACCACCCCAACCTCACAAATGCTGCGCCATGTGGTTGTACCGCCTTTTAGCAGGTTGCAGACTGAAGTGTGGAGAACGATGCCAAGGGGCCAAAGCCTTCTACACATGATGGGTTTCTGTGCTTGGACACTACTGGTTGGCTGGCCCTCCTAAGCCACGAGGACGATTGGAAGTACGAAAGCCAGCCTGTGGGATGCGATGTTTGTTCGTGTTGAATAAGGAGGAGTAGGCTCTTGTGCCGCCAACCGACCCTTCGGGCCTCCAGGCTGAGCCAGATACAGCTCCGATGAGAGCAAAACCGGACTTCTCTGACTCATGCGATGCCCTCTTGACAACTTTACGAGCTCCAAGCTTTGCGGGAGAATGCAACCAGACGACCCGGGCCAGGAAATTAATTGTCTTGTCCTGCCACTGCAGCTGGGTCACGACTACAGCCTTTGGGCTTTTGAAGAGAAGCTGAAGGCTTGGCGCGGCATCGAACAACGACGTAAAAAACCTGGGCTGGCACTCCTTGACCGGGGAACTTCGGGAACCTTGGCCACCTGCCTCTGACTGGCCTTGCTGCAATCCTCGCATCCCAAACATGCCTAAAGTAGATGCCGGGAAACATTTCACCAGCGGCTTCCCGGGAATCAAATTTAGCACAAAAGGCCGTCCAGGTCTCCTGGACCTGGGCCAGTCAAAAAGTGGGAATGGTTGCACATGCAAAAGCTCGAGTCGAGCAGGTGCTTCGAAAGGATTGTTGTCTTCATTTACCACATCAGAGAAGGAACAACGACTTGCATCATAATCTGAAATCTTAATTATGCATTTTAAGGAGGCTCGGTTTGATGTTCCCTCTGAGCCCAGCCCAACCCCGAATCACCGCTAATCCGTTCCCCCTAATATTAAAAGGCCCCCCCCCCCAATAGAAACTCCAAATGTGGTTTCTATTACAAGGGGGATGTTTTATCCAAATGTCACGTTTGGGGTCTAAAGGGTTGAGGGTCTAGGCTTCAGGGTTTGGAGGGTTTAGGGCTTTCAGGGTTTCGTGTTTGATTAGGTTTTAGGGAGAGGGAAGGAGGGTTTAGGGTTTCAGGGTTTAGGATTGGCTCTAGGGATTGGGAGCCCTGAACCCACCACCCAATTCGGAATAGGTTTTAAAAGGTGGGTGGGTTTGGGCAGGATTTTCCGGAAAGTGTTTTTATGGTTAGGGGGGGTATTTCATAAAAGGGGGAAGGGATTAACGCACACTCACCTGCCCTGTCCCCTTGTAACTGGCATACCTGCTACTTCTAACGCTCTCAAACCACATGAAGCAGCAGGTCTGACGCCCTGCATGAGAAAACAGCCAGAAAGCGACATCGCGCAGGTAAGACCAATCAGTTAGCACGGCAGCACGCTAGAAACATGACCACTTGCAATCCCGCATGTGCATGGGCACGTGCCTGCGTTGCAATGGACTCTGGAAGTTCAAAGTCGTCGAACGTGGAGTCGTCCACTGCAGCGTACTTTTCCTTGGGTGATCCGCATGACCCAGCATAAACCACCCAACAGTGGGCGCCCCACAGCCGTGTACAAGCTGTGTACAAGCTTGCTCCAGGCTCTTGCAGTCTCCTGCTGTTCAACTTCAGCTCAGGATTCACGACTAGATGGTGTATCCAAAGTCTTTGAGCAGTAAGTGTGTGAAGATGTTCTTGATAAGTTAAGGACTGGTAGGTTGACTAGTCAGGTCTACCATGCAAAGGCCCGAGGCCCTAGGCTCTGACAAACCAAGGAGCTAGGCCGAGGGATTCCAAGGCTAAAGGCTCCGTTTCGCCTTCGGCGAATGTCGCCAGCCTCGAGTTATCGGCCTCTTCTTCATTGTCTTGCTCGCTGGAACCGTCCTCTTGCCAGACCTGGCAAGTGGCAAGGAAGCAGCTGCAGCCGTAGTCTATTCCTGTAATGAGGCCTGCTGATATCTGCAGCCAGTAGGAATTGCAAAACTTTCTCTGCAACACTGGAATGCACTGGAAACGCACCTCATCAGTGACGGCGTCGCTGCCATCTTCTTCTGACATAGCGAAAGGTCGAGAGGGTGCCGACCAGGGCTCTTGCAAAACCGTGTCAGCTTTGCCTAATCACAACGCAAACATCCAGCTGCATGTGCAACTTATATAAGGCGCAACTGCATACAGCTTGGCGTTTACAGGTCGAATCTGGATAAACTTAATTAACCTCTCGTGAAGGCTTGTTCACATTAAGCTGGCTGGCTGAAGGGAGGGTAGGCCCTCAAGGCCACTTGAGCCAAAGCCAGTCTCAGCGCTGATGCCGCTACTTTAGTATCTGTGCTTCTGCGCCCAGAGACTACAAACAACCACCTTTGAAGGTCAACCTCCGAGCACTCTTACTTCCGCATGGGCCAAGAATTTAGGCCAGCAGCATGAGAAAAGTCCGAAGAAGCGCAGTGGAAATTTCCCAGCGGCAAGAAACTGAGCACTCTGAATCTTTGACCTTACCTGTGGTGATCCTCTGCTTTTCCTGCGCGTGCCGAAGCCAGTAGAGCAGTGCCTGTGGTCATGGCAAAAAGTCATGATGCCGTTCTTCTTAACACAAGAACTCGAGCTCCTGAGCACGGGTAGAATGCCAATCGGCCGTTCCACAAGTTCAACAACCCCTATGCTCCGGAACTTAGCATGATACTGATTTCGTGATTCAGGCAGTTCACTTGCAGCACATGTCGACGGCGCGGGGTTGACATGTCGACTCTGAAGTAGCAGTCGGGGACTTAGCGAACGGAGTAACAGTACAGAGCATATACGAACATGTACATTAACTCATATAGGCCAAGGCAAGGGCCGAACAGCCCCAAGCATCCCCATATCAATACGTACAAAAACGGCTCAGGGAAAAAGACACAAACCTCAGGAGAGGTTGCGGGCGGGTCCGCGTCTAATCTCGCTTGCAACGCGTCGCAGACAGTCACAAAAAACCAAACTGTGCTTCCAGCTGTCTGCCCAGCTGCCGTTCATGGCCAGTGTGTTGGCTTTGACCCACCATCTACACCACAAAGTGACCTGTGACGGCTTGAGTGCTTCATTTACAACCGGCAACCTCCCGAGAAGGGCATGCCCTTGACACAGTGAAGGAGCACTGAGTCTGCGCACCACTTTGCAGGGCCGAAGGCCTGATGCAAACACCTGCAAACACTCTGCAAACACCTTGCAACACGGCTCATGTTTTGGTGCTCTGCCGCAGCAGGGAGAGTCTAACAGAAAGATTATCCAGATTTCAGCTCCAAAACAGCCTGCTCTTCCGAGAGAAGCCTGAACAGCACGTGCAGCAAAAAAGATGTCGATGCACAACTGAACGCAGTAGCGCAAAGAGTCTTTGAATTGCGACCGCAATATGTGAAGTTGGAAAGTCTCAGATTGTCACGATAGGCACATGGAAGATCTCCGCGAAACACGACCTGAGCTGAGCTGGGACTGGGGTCGAAAGGTACGATGGGACCTGCTGAGGTTCTTGCCCTCCAGCCAGACTGACCTTACCAGTTCCACAAATACATCTGCGAAGGATGATCTCAAGATTTGTTCCCAACACTCGCAGTCACTGAGGTGTTCCGATGCGGTTCCATTTTCCATGTCTTGGCAAGTGCCCGCTTTTTAGGCAGGGGTGTCAGGTATACATAGATGAGCACCCTCGAGTTTAGCAGGCCGCTTGGTAATCCCCAAGCACCGGCATCTTCACCGCAAGGTGAACCTGTACAACGCTTGGTTGCATCGACAAAACATCATTCAAATATGTTTACCCTTCTTATGCATGTCTCTACAGTCTGAGAGTGATCTGGCAGTTTTCCGGACGCTTCTGCTAGCCGCTAGCCTGTCATTACGATCTTCATTTCGCCACATCACTCACACTGCAGCTTGACACGCTCCGATGCTGCAACAGGCGACCATCTCTGCAGGAGGCAGCCCAGGGGCAAGGCTGATCCAAACAGCTTCTGCGACAAGGCCTCTCATCTTCAGCGGGTGAAGAACCGGTCGATTTCAGTTCGGATCCTCTTTACATGCGCGTCAGAACTCCACCACGTATCCAGCAGGGCATGGACCCTTTCCACGTCAGAGGCCTGCAGCACAACAAGAAGCAGGGGCATGAGTAAATGTTACAACTTAAGTAGGGCTCTGGCCTCCGTGAACCCACCTCCTTCATCCAACCCCCGCTCCAAGAACGCCCTCCTTCCAAGCCACACCGTCCCCCACCCTCAATTGGTCTCGAATATGATGATTCAGAATCTAGACGTCAAGTATATCTCAAGGAAGCAGGGTGAGATTCGCGCCTGTGCCACCTGCTGGATGGCCTTCGGAAAGAGCAATCGAACGCGGGGAGGCTTTCGGAAGAGCAAAGCGTAACAGACAGGGTGTCAGAAAATGTGAGGCTTTCATGGAACTGAATTTAAATTCGAAAAAGCAGAGAAGCTCGCAGGACTTGCTGGTCATGTGGCGGCGCAAAGCAGTCCGCTGACGGCTGTTCGCTCAGTGGATCTCTTGTGTCTTCTGATTTTGCGTGTGCGGGCATGGGGGGACAAGGAGGCACAGCGACCGGAAGATGCTTCCAGGGAGAGGGACGAAGAGACAGATGCAAAGACGGCAAAACGGAGACGAAGAGTGCTGCTCGATCGACCAGACCGATGTCCCAATCTTGCCCACAAAATGCGACTTACGTATGTACCGCCTTTCGGCCCCAACAAAACAAAAGCCACCAAGTTCGATGCTCAATGGAAGCTTCCGAGGTGGAGAGAAGTGCCCAGTGTATCCCACTGCATCAGTAAGCGTTCATCTGTGCTCGGGACGCACGAAGTGATTGAGAACTGTAGGCAATAGGTGAAAGAGAGATTGTCGTTCTTGGTCTGTGCAGGCACGGTCATGCACATCCAAATCAATATGAGTGACCGAGTACAGCTATTGCCCCTGAGCAAAGGGAAGAGATTGAAAAGCCAAAAAAAGAAGGTAGGAACAATCTGCTCGGCTCGCATCTTCTGTAATGTGTTTTGCATGAGGAGGAGGCAGAGCCAGCAAGACGAATGTGGTGAGAGTCGAGGTGCCTACCGCAGTGGTGGCTGAGGCGATGTTGTGGAGGTCTGGTGGTCTACATGTGCTTGAAAGTGCGATGCCGCCGCCAGATTACTTGAACCTTTGCCTTTGACATGAAGGGTTCTCCTGCGAGTCCTCTTTGCGAGCTGATACAGACGATCGCGCACGAACCTTCACGAAGCTATCGCACCAGTGCGCTTAACTTCCTCGTTAGGCCCGCAGCTCAAGTGATCACATCTGGCCATGCCATGGCTTCGAGACGGACCTTGCCAGTGTGTTTCATGCAGCTTTCCGACTCCGGTCTTGCACAACATCTTGGAGTTCTTCTAGAGGCTTGAGAAAGTTCTCTTTTGGTAGCTTGTCCCGGCATCTTGTGTTGACGCGGCAGGAGAAGCAGACATGCAATGAGCATGTTCGCCAAACTGGCGTCCAGGTGCCTTCCCCAAGGAGACGGTGCGTGCAGCGCAGCCGACGATGATGATGATGATGATGGCAGCAGCAGCAGCAGCAGATGCAGATACTGATAGCAGCAGATAGCAGGATCCAGCAGCAGACAGCAGCGTATAGCAGCATGCCTGTTTTCGTGCTATCGTTCTGCTAGTGCACAGGTCAACGCCCTGGCTGTTAGTTTTGGACCGTCTTGCAGAGACGCATTGTAGGATGGTATTGTCTTGTCATGCCATGTCTTTAGCCGCCGTGGATGCCCGTTAAATACCAAGATTCCTCGCAATAGAGCAGCTAAGAGTCAAAAATGTCTGACACCTGCTTTCAACAGAACTGTCCGACCTCTATCACCTCTGTTCAACCTCCGGCAAAACAAGAAAGTTGCAACCAGCGAAGGACGGAAGTTCCCTGACATTCCCTGATGAGCCTCCAGGGCCTGCTCACGGACTGCGGCGTCCTGGTGCCCTGCCTGCCAGGATGCAGCCTCCAGCGTGCGGCGGTGTCCGGGCCCTGAGAGCAACGAAAGCTCCTAACCAAGCTCGCCTGCTTCTGCTTACTGCTTCCCCACATGTTGTAGTCACTGTTAACATTCAGCCCGACATTCCCGAACAAACGGCCTGAAAAGCCCCCCTTAAACACGATGCTCGTGTGGTGGGTTTGCAAAGGTTTGCCTCGTGATGGCCTATACTGCACCGGCCCATGCGCTAAACCCTGCTTTTGTCGAAAAGTTTGAATTGCCGTGACATACTGCAGCACTGAACATCTGTGCTTGGGAAACTGTTGGCACCCCTCCTTGGAGCGGCACATGTGCAGCAGCAAGACAGAAAACAACAAGTTTCAAGGCCTTCTAGTTTTCTCTCTGAGGATCGCATGCTGGCAGCAATCTAACTGGAATTTACCCCCTTGCATGGTGCTTGATGCATCTCTTTTGGAGCGCAAGCCATAGCAAACACAGCATGTTGCACGAGCTTTCCTGGGACAGTAGAGGGAACGTGCAAACTGAAAAACAGTCAGTCAGACAGTCAGACAGTCAGACGATCAGACACTCAGATGCTCGCAGATCTACTTAGTCCAGCGGTGAATTTGAGTCTGACCGTCTGAGTTTTCTAAGTGCCTGCGCGTCCGAATGTCTGAGTGTCTGCGTATTCCAAGTGTCTGCATATCTCATTGTCTGATGGTCCGTGAGTTTTCTGACTGTTTGCTGCGTGGTTAACCAGGGGCCTGCTGTCAGCATGGCGCACTCCAAGGCCAGGCGCGTGTGCTCGGCCGGAAGCTTCGGGATCTCCGCCACGGCAGCCCTGAGTCCAAGGTTTCACTTCCGTGGTCGCAACTGAATGGTCCGCAGAAAGCAGGTGTCTCTCATGCTTGCTCAATAGTTCGGTACCCGTGTCAGAGCATCAAACCCACCACAAGCATTCTGGGCAAGACGCTACAAGTCTGTATGTCCTACTGATGAGGCTACGATTCAGGGCTCCCTGCATCCAGGAGAGAAGTGACAATGACATTGCCGCTGGGCAGCCATAGATCCGCATCCTCACCTTGTTCACTTGCAGCTGCGCACTCGCCGGGGTTTGGTCGAACGAAATGACCAAGTTTGCTGATGCTGACCTTGGTTCAGTGGCTGCGCACTTCTACTTGGAGCCGTTCGGGGGGGCTTTTGGTACAGTGGCTTCAGGACCGCTGGAGACAGCAAGAGCCCTACGCATCCCTCAACCTAAGTCGGAGTGGCCAGATTCCGGAGAGTAAACTTTATAAGGGGATCTTGAACTTTAACTCCCAGATGCCTTTGCCCTTGTGCGACTGCTTATGTATAAGTCGGGGAAGGTGGGAGGGGGGGGGGGTTCCGATGCCACGTGTGCATGTGAGTGCCTCAGCAAGACTTAATGAAAAGGAGGACCCTGGCAACTTCATCACGGAGTTGTTGGCATGGGCACTGCAGTCCTTTGTGGCTTTCTTTGCCTGCTGGATCGCCACCCCCCCCCCCCCCCCTAAGACCACACAGTCACACTCGGAACCATTCGAGGTTTCTCACGAATCTTGCTGGCAGACAAGAGTGGACATAAATGGAACCAGCAGATACTTCAAAGCTCATCCGACTCATCATCAAACATCTCCTCTACCGTGCCCTCGCCTGGTCCAATCATGCTTGGAATCCTTCGAGGCCTTTCAAGTGGCTCAGCTTGGCAGGTCTGTGCGTCTCATCCGTTTTCAGTTTAGCACGACGCAGGAAGCCAACAGAGTCTTCCTCTTAGTTCCACTTGCTTATGTGCTCAAGCAGCGGGTTCGTGCATGAGGCATACTGTTTCAGCCACATGCCGTTGGCTTAACCGGGTGTCCTGTGTCCTGTCAGCGGAACACGGTCAGGTAGTTCTCGATTAGGTGGTCGCAGAGTCGTTCCATGAACTTGCTGGCTTCACGGTGTTTTCTAGCACAAGCTTCACACAAGCTACAGTTCTGGTCTCTCAACCGTTTGGGAGACTCGTGAGGAACACTGCTTCTGATGCGGATCGCGGCCACACCAAGTACGAGAGCTCAGCAAAGAGACGATTCCCAACACCTTTCACTGGGTGGCCAGGCTGGCCTGCTTTCAAGACCCCAAAAAATGCAAGCCCTTAGAAGACATGCGAGGCCATCCCAAGCAATTCAAGGCCGTCAGAGGAGATGCCAGGGGGAACAAAGCACTGCTCTGCGAGGAAGGGCAGAAACCTGGGAAGCAAGCACCGGTGCGGGAACGAAGTGGGAAAGGCGAGGCCAGGTGAGGCGCAGAAAGCACGGGGTACTCACGCTGGTTTTCAGGGTGGATCATTGCTGCCAATGGCTGCCATGTCGTCCTAGCGAGACACTGTGCTAACGGAGCGAGAAAGCGTGAGCTTCGTAGCCCCGTTGTGCCGGCCAGGATGAGCAAGTCAAAACGAAAAATCATATGTGCGGTGTTTTTGGGTTGCAATCAAGAAGGCATGGGGCCCATCATGGGCGTTCAATGTTGGCAGGAGTCGTCGCCACCATTTATACCACCGAAGCCGACAGACATCGCCAGACATCACATGAAACACACAGTTTGGCTTTTCATCAAACTTGACCAGGTCTTGCACCCCACTTCTCTCTTCATCGCACTAGCAAGCACCACATATGACACTGGCATTGTAAACTTCACCACGCCACACAGAACCAGACATTGCAGCACAATGTTGAACTTCATCGCTAAACTACTTGCCACATGTCCATGCATGTCACCACTGCACACTCCACAACAAAATTGCCCAAGACTCATCACTGCAGTCCTGACCCCACGTGTAGTCTCGGGTTGTTTTCTCACCGAGCTGCTGCCAGAAATGCCTGCTCATCCACTGCACCAAAGAAATAGTTGCCGAACTCATTGACGAATGAGAACTCCAGACAGCTTATTAGCTTCTCCAGCGAAACACCTCGTTCAGCGGCCACTTGTGGTAACTCGACCAGGGTTTCCAATGCCAAGCTTTTCTGAATACTTTCCGTGATGCTATCACAGGGTATCACCTGTCGATACATCCATCCAGGCTTCAGCATGCGAGCTGTTGCGTGATACCCTCCGAGCGTCCCCTTTGCCATGGCCAGTGGGTCATTGACGAATGTAACTCGTCTACCCTCCTCTGCGGGGCGAGGCCTTGCCGGCAGTTGGCTTCGGCGTTCGAGATGCTTCAAAAGATCGCCCATAATCGAGGCCTCCGAAGACGGGACTTGTTGCAGCGACAAAGCCGTGCGATCCGTGTAGAAGCATCGTGCGACTGCCATGGCTGCCTGGCTTTGCAGACTCTCATCTCCACTGGCCAACACTCGCGCGAGCAATCGAGTTGATTCCTTGCCCGAAAGGCCCTTCAACAACAACTGGAGCGCAACCTCTCTCAAACTAGCATCGTTCCAGTTCAAAGCCCCCACATAGCAAGAAGCCGGTGCGTTGTCCATCTCCAGCAACTGAAGCATGGCCCCATGTTTTCCTGGACCACATGTGGCCGTGAGGCAAATGTCCCGACAGTGAAAAACCTGCATGTTCAACTTGAGTTGGGTCCCATCGCCATACTGGTCATACTGGGCAACGGCAGAGGTGTCACAGAGTTCGACTGCTTCACTGCTGCTGTCACCTCGACCACAGGAACACGATTGCTATCAGTCTGCAAAGAGGACAGCAGACGCGGTTCAGACTAAGATTGCGTGTCATGACAATTCATGAACATGGTGTCAAATGTGTGCCAAGGTGGCCCTACCTTGAAGCAGCAGCACTTGCCATTCCACAGGAACTCCACTCTGGAGTTCAATGCCTTAGCATTGACTGACACTGTGAACTACACCGGACTGCATTACATTAAAAAAATGCGGCAGAGCCAACAGTGAACAGCTAGCTGGAAGGGCAATGTTGATTCGTGGACACAGCAAGCAACACGCATGCTAGCCTCGATGACTCCTTATGATAGACGTCTGGCCTTGATTGTTATCGAAAGCACTCGGGAAGCAACCTGCTAACGAATCTACAAGAAGTAACGTGACGCCAGCTGCCTTTCAACGCAAGTGTAAGAAGTAAAGTGACGCAGCTTCAGTTCTCGAACCGTCTCCGCACCTGCCACGCTGAAATGGTACATCTCTCCTCACCCAGCAGACATAACAAGTTCACGATGGTTGCATGATTCTGAAACTGTCCAGACCTCGCTCCTGACAAGCGGACCACGCAGACCTCGACTGCTTCCGATGCGGAAGGTTGAGCACCTGGAACTCGGGAAGATCCACGAAGGCCTCGTCCCACGCAGACGAAAGAACGACTCATGCGTACTCTTTGCCGAAACTGTCCGTAGTTCTAGCTGCCGCAGTTCTGTTCAGGTGCGTCATTCCCCGTACACATCTGAGCTCTTGCGGGGTGCGGGAAGTCAGACCCAATGGTCGACATCATGATCGCTGAAGTCGAGCCAAGCCACTTGCAAGCCAAGCGTTCCTCTCATCTTCCTCGAGGCAACGGCACGTGTGAAAGGCAACGGCACGTGTGAAGCCACAGCAGTACCTCATAGTACCTCATAGTACTTCATAGTACCTCATAGTACCTCACTCTTTCACTGGAGACAATGGATTCCAGGTGGACCCCTCATGGTCTTGAAGAATCTCCAGGTTGTCCTCGGGCAGGCCCAAGCCGCAAAGCATGTCCCGCGACGGACTTGCGGGCCTGACAAGCATGTCTTTGAAAGTAGGACTCCTATACCTGCGAAGTTGCATTTACATATCGTTTCCACACGTAATCACTTGCTAATCCACAACATGGGAGATCAGTGCTGGTGTGGAACTGTCCGATGGAGCCTGCGATCCAACCTTTCGGCCCAATTCTTGGCCTTCGCGCGGCATGATGGTGGTTTATGGTGAAACATTGCAGTGCTCAGTCCTGGGTACCCACAGCAAAACTCAAAGCTGTGGGTCAAATACACGTGCGCCAATCCTCGACAAGCTGGCCTCAAAGACCAATCGCTTCATGTGGAACGGCTCCTGGGTGACTCGCGCAACCGCAGGCCATCGGGCCCCACAGGCAGCATGGGATCAGGCTCAACGCAACAGGTATCATGAGTCATGAGCATGCGGTCAGCCCGACTACAACAGTGCAGCCTTCTCTTGTACGCTTAGATTCCGGTATCTTGGAGATGTTCTGCACTTGCACATCTCAAGGCCTACATTGAGAGACCCTGGCCTCACGGGTGTCGATGTCCATGGCTGTTGCTGTAGACTTGGTCTCTTCAGGTACCCAAGTGTGGACCTGTCGATCCAGATAGCAGGGGTTCGGGGTTTCAATCTCAGGACTAGCTCTCTCCGGGCATACTTACTTTTTGTCCACATTATGGGCCCATCAGAATGGGTTGGATGGACATGACATCTGCTGCTACGTCTGAAGGTGCGGGAACAACAGACCAACGAACAAACTTCTCGCAACAGGCTACATTGGAAGGTTGTAAAGAAGGTGTCTACATGTTCAATGATCTTCATCCTTTGGCATCTTTCGATCCGGGTCGCGCAACAGCGTACGCGAGAATCCAGAATCCTCATTTCTTTACGCTTTATCTACGCTGGCCTTCGGCCAGGGCTTGTTCGGTGGTCTCCGAACTGTGGATTTGGCTGTAGGCACGGTAGGCGGCGGCCACTTCCCTTTGCCTGCCCCTGCATTCGGGGAACAGGACTTTCAGAGTTTCTACTCGCAACTTGCAGAGGTTTGATTTTTTGAAGGCTTAGGTTTGGAATTGCATGCGGTGCTCTCCCGCTCTCCCTGCACTCCGCGTCTCCACAGGCTTCCATGCAGGTGCCTTTCGTGGCCATGGCCATGGCAGCCCTGTCTCGTTGTTCGACCTTGAGCCCTGATGCACCCCAGGCACAGTACAAGTCCAAGCTTCTGGAGTCGCAATCTGCTTCCCTATGTACAAAATTGTACGAACGTTGAAGTTTTGCCGTCTGCCTTGCATCGCAACAGGGCTCCGAGGACGGAGCTGTCGCACGACACCTTCAAGCAGTGGAGCCGGTCGCTTTGCCGAAACCACCTTAGGCACAAATCTACTAGATCTGCTTTCAGCCGTCTTCTACTGACCTGTAAGCGCAGAGCCATGTGCAGGAACCGGCGAAAATGCTCATCACATGGTTGACGCACGTACCTCACAAACACATGGTGTTCTTGCACACGCTTTCCTCACCAAAGTGGACGTGCGCCGTCTTCCTCTCACACTAGAACTCCTTGCCAAGGAACCCTCAACTTCCCATGCAATGAGCGCACGCCGTTGCAAGACTCCACTTCCACCCTATGCCCATCTACTTGCAATTTTGCGAGGAGGTCACCGTCCTCAGAAGTGCAAGTATGAAGTTGCTCGAAAGGAGGCTCTTCAACCGGCCTGGCGTAGCGCAGCTCTAAATTGCAGCCTTGCGCAAAAAATGGAAAACAAACAAATAGCCCCCGTAAACTATTTTGATGCTTGTTCGATATGTGGCGTGACATGTTCAAGATATGCACTAGTCACTAGCTTTGCCCGTTACGATGGGGAGCTCGCCCGAAGCTCGTCCGAAGCCATCTCTTCGGGCTGTACACCGCATCAGCATGTCGAGATCTTCGGGCGCGGTGCTGTATAAACTGCTTGCAGTGTCAGTGGAACGTGCTGTGGCCAAATCCAAAGTGTCGTTGAATGGTCAGCCCCATGCCAGGGGTCGGGCAGATGCGGGCAGGAACCGGTCATGGCTGACTACACCTCTAATCACGACATTCCAGAGGCACTGCTCGGGACCGATCTCGTACCAGTGAGGAAACCTCAGAGCTGAGCCGATGAGGAATGAGTGGTGGATTCAGCCAATTTACTTTGCCCCCGGCGTTCCCAAAGCATCGCAAACGGTGTGAAGATCACCACCGTCCTCCCCACGAGCCTTAGGCTTGGAACTTAGAGCCATTGCAAGTTGAAGGATCTAAACTCCCCGACAAAGCGCACATTTTTGTTGCACTGGTACCAGTATGGCCCAGTCGTAGCCACTCCCAATTTCGCCTCGGCCCTGGCCGTGGAAATCGGAGGTTCCCCCTCCCCCGTTTTTGTTCACTTGGTTTTGAGCGGAGAACCAGGGCACCTGGCAGAAGAAAAGCCCCTGATTATTACTCTCAACCTGCTGCTAGGCCCTGTAAGCCCGAGAGGCTCATGAACTCTCTCGGTTCCGACCCCAGCCGTTGACAAAACCTTCAGCGGGCTTTCGGGCCGAGCCGAAGCGCTGGACGGCGCAGCGTCTGGACGCGGAGCGTTACAGATCCATCGGTCATGGAGACCTTTTCTGCGCAGCTCTGCAAGTTGCGAAGTTTTCGTGTGGCCAGGCGCGCGATGCCTCAAAGCTGAAGGCAGACAGGATGGTAAATCAGCCTCCGCCTCTAAGTCTCCCTGTTCCGATCTATAGGCTCAGGTCAGGACACCCAGGGTTCAGCCGACCCCCCTGTTTGTCCAGAATGCCGAGATGGTGCTGTTAGTTACAGGGTCGCTGCGTCCGAATCGTCTTGTTCAACAGGAAATTGAGTTGGCCACACCGTAGAGCGCCTCTTGAACAAAGACCAAGGTGCTGAAGGGACATGCGGTTGCTTTCTGTGCGGACCTGGCGTCCGGCAGATGGGTTCGCGGTGAATGTAATGCCAGTTGGATGCTGCGGGCAAGCAAAACCTGCTCACATTCGCAAGGCCTTGCTGCCAGCCAAAGCCGCAGGCAAAGCTCTGCCTTTCACAGGAGAGGGGCTACTCACGAATTGTCGCATGCGTCGCTGCATCTGCCATCATTTGGCTCCGCTGTTCCGCTCTGCCTTCCGCTGTCGCAGGCTGCCAGACCACCGAAGCGGGGCCCCACAGGCATGGAGGGCCAAGAGGTTGCCTGGGCAAAGACCATGAAAGGTGATTCCAAACACACATTGAAGGAACTACAGGCCGGCCATGGCACCTGCCTACGACAAAAGAGCTGTATACTTCCTTGACGAATGCCGGGTGTGATTTGGCGTGATGGTTCTGGGTTTCTTTGTGTTTTGGCTGAAACTTGGGTATGCTTCTCGACCAGCGGAAGTCGCCTGCACCTGCGCCTATGCTGATGTCTCTGAGTTTTCGTTTGCATCGGTGGAACTTCATGGAAGCATGCCAGTGCCAATGCATGACCGAGGTTTGGTTTTTTTGTACAAGCCACACAACCGGCAATGAACTAAAGCTTTGACTAGGTTTGGATTACAACGGGTTTCTTGTGGAGTATGTGCACGATGGACTCGACAGTTTGCTGCTTTCTGGCTCGCCTGATCCTTCTGCTTCAACTCCGAAGGACAAGAAGTCGCCGCGGGAGCGCAAGGCCTGCGACGTGCATAGTGAAGAGTGGGTGAGTGGGATCTCTCATGGCCTTTGTGACAAGAACATATGCTGACACAACGACTCTCAGTTGCCGAGACGATACAGTAGCAAAGGCCTGGGACTGATCCTTCAAAACTTGGTCCAAGGGTGCAGTGGGCAACCTGAGAGGCACGCTTGTTTCACGCCATCTTTGAGGCACTCCGGTGTTGTCATGAACGCAGCCACCAGGATGTTCCGAGGATTCCAGTGTTGTCTAGAATGCCACGTGCGGTGTTTTTGAGCTCAATGGAGCCAAAAAGCAGGTTCGTCACCATGACACTTCGAGGACGAAGGAGCCCTTCGGCGAGCGCCTTTGTTCGGAAACCGTCACGCCGATTTCACAACACTCACGACTCAACAGACTCCAAACCTTGGAAGAAAACCTTGGAAAACTGGGGGGGGGGGGGAACTCCTGATCCACGCAGGACTAGTCGGACTAGCTCTAGGTCTTTTCAATGCCAGGGTTCATTTGAGAGGCCGGAGCTTGCAGATGTGAAGGCAGATGGCACATTGCCCTCCACATCGTATGCGTCGATGACCAATGCATCATATGCCCCATCGCGCAGATCTCAGGGCTGAAATTTCTGACTCTCAACTTACTGTGCCGGTCGCTTCTGGGCATGCATGGCCATTCTGGTCTGCAGAAGCCCCAAGCAGATTGAAGCCAACAGAACTCTAGTTTTAACAGCCGAACCAGATGCCTCACCGAAGGGCAACAGAACACATCTAAGCTCAGAGTCAAGATGTGTAGAACCAGTGGACCTTCGGTGTTGCGCACCGCCTCGCTCACAAAGTTGGCACCATCAGCCAGGTGCAGCCTGATGCGAGGATGTGGCTCAAAGCCCATAGAGTCGGCTGCTTCAAGAACTGCGGGCTCCAGCTCGACTACATCCACCAGGCAGTGTGGAATCATGTCGGCCAAGAAGGCGGGAACACTTCCACCCCCAAAGCCAATGCAAAGGATGCGAAGTTCCTTTTCAGAGTTGCCCATTTGATGCAGCGGCGCGCCAACCAAGTCAAGGGCTGCCAACACCGAACTTGCCACGGACTTTGTGTACGGCATGAGCAAGCATTTGCGGGACTGCTCTCTCAGGTTGCCGTCCATGTCGATCGAGACCCGGTTGATCGCCTGGTGAGTTGCGATTCGCATTTCACGAACCTCAACCCTCCACAATCCTCCGAATTCCTCGCAACACTCCGTTTGCATGCGCCCTTGGCCATCCTGGATCAAGTCAGACGATCGATTCTCTGGAATGAACCGCAGAACTCGCCATTCCTCACCGTTAGCTCAGGTGTGGCCGAATGTGCAGGGGTGGGAGCAACGCACCAAACAATGCACAAACACGCAGCCGGAAGCATCAAGCTCCTGTACCCACCCTGGAGGCAACGTGCCAGCAGGTGTAGCGCGGTGTGCTGTGACCTGCATACTGCAGATCACATCTTGACAAAGCTGATCTGTCCACGGCCTGAAGCTCGCCACCTGCATGTGGACCAAGGCGACCCGCAAAACTACTGGGATCTAGTAGGGCGCTCGACATGATATGATGCTCACTATGGCTATGGTATATCGATTTTAGTCGATGTTCCTGCATCACTGTGGGCATGTGATTCATTGAGACTGGCAAAGCGGAGATGACGCAGACGCAAATATGTGCATAGCTTTCTCCGGAACCATCGAACCTTAACCTTGCCTTGTGCAAGCGGTTGCCGTTTAAGCAAACGGCCGGGCATCAAAGCCTCATGGATAAGAGCCTGGCCAAAAGGTGAAATGTGGTTGGCCAAGAACACCCCGGGCCGCACTAGAAGGCAAAAACAGCATTGCGCCACCAAAGCCACAGGCCCGTGCGCCAACAGCGCATCTAACAGAACATCAAATATCAAAGTCTCAGCACAAGAGGGGGCTGCAGGCAAAACTACGCGCCCGGATGAGGCAACCGCAGCTTGTTTGAGAATGCTGGGCTGTCATCGACAGAAATTTGACTCCCCCTGTGACCCTGTGCACCCATTTGATGATGGCAAAGGCTGGCCTCTCGGCCCGGGTCGCTGTCTCCGGTCGTGGCCGCGGCACTGCCCAACACCTGAACTGAGCTTCGGCACATGCTTTGTGTGGTCCTCTTCTGGCATTCAGTTTTTTTCTGAGGCCATTCGCTGTGGGAAAAATATCTACTATCACTATACAGCTCGCATATACAGTCACAGAATAACCAGGTCTCTCTGACAGAAAGCCATGCACCACGAAAGTCCAACAGTCTCACGAGCCTCGACTCACAAACAGGCAAAGGTTCCAAAAGACACTCTCCAACACAAGTTCATAGGCAGCCTCCTACGACAGTAGCCTCCTTGAATCATGAGAGGTCATGTACCTGGCTGCAGGATGTCCGAAGGGGTCCCTCAGCATGTCTGCAGCATGAGGGCACCACGGCTGTCGCGCCACCGGGAAGGCCCAGGCGCCTCGCCAAACGACGGCTGGCCAGGCGCGAGGCACGGGAGGCCATGAGAGGCCATAGAGGAACGGAGGTTGAAAAGGCCCTTAATCTTGCTCTCAATGTGCAAACTCGTGTTGCCCACTTCAGTGAAGCATAATTTTCAGAGTAAGCCACAGAATCACTGTGTTTTGGACCTGCAGCTCCGGTGTGTGGCTTGCACAACTTCTGCCGCTTCAAGCGGGGCTTCTGAGTTTGCGTTCTGAGAAGTGCTCTGTTCAAACAGCTGCCCAATCGAAATGGCAAAAGGGCCAACAGTCTTAGTTGCACCTGGCGCGGAGGTCATAGAGTCTCGACACCTGCTGCTGTTCCTGCGCATTCCCGTGCGGAACGGGTGAAGCCACCTGTGTCGATCTTTTCCGAGAGGTTGCAATCAAACCAGGGCCGAAGGCGACACAGCTATCGAAAATGCATACTGGCAGGGCAGTGTGCCGTAATGGCAGCTCACAAGCTCCAGTCTGAGAAAATGAATTCTATCTCGATGTGGAAAAGAGCTTCCTAGCCTCTGAGGCGAGGAAGGTGTTTGCACTAGTCACCCATGCCTTTGCAGCAGAGTCGAACTGAGAAGATAGCAAGCATTTTCGTTGTTTCTTGTTCATATATATATATACATGTATATATATATGTATATATGTATATATATATATATATATATATATATATATTTATATGTATATATGTATATATGTATATATATGTATATATGTATAGATGCATATATGTATAGATGCATATATGTATATATGTATATATGTCTATATGTATATATGTATATATGTATATATGTATATATGTATATATGTATATATGTATATATGTATATATGTATATATGTATATATGTATATATGTATATATGTATACTGTATATGTGTTTGTACATGTGTTTTTGTTGCTGTTGATGTTGCTGTTATTGCTCTTGTTCTTGCTCTTTTCTTTGCGTTGCATTTGTTGTATCTGTTGAATTTGTTGTATGTGTTGTTGTATTTGTTGTTGCATTTGTTGTTGTACTTGTTGTCGTCATTTGTTGTCGTCTTGGCAGTTGTG